CTTCGCAATATAACTTCTTGTAAAGGAGAGAAAAACGAACCAACCATAAAAATAGGTATCGTGCTAATTCAGCAAAGTTTTTTTTTCCAAAGTAAAAGAAATCGATCAAAATCACAAAACGACGAGATAATGAGGGTATGCCTACTCACCACAGCATTGTTGCCCACTGTGCAGCTTTCGCTGCTGATAAATTTCAACCCTGATAAAACAGACTCTAACGTTTATAAGAGAAAATAGGATGGTGGGTGCAACGTTGGGTTTTCACGTCCGTGTTGCTGGGTTATGCTATCATGGAAATAAATACGAATTATTTGCGACCAGGAAACGGGTAATCTTTATTGCGTAAAGAATTCTCAACAACTATTTAAATTCTTAGCTCTACTCTTTGTATTCGTTTTCGCGTCCTTAAAAGGCCAAAGGACGAACACTGGTGCTACCTGGTGTCACAAAACTTTTTATAATGTCAAGTGCTGCAGCTAACGCATTTACGCTATCAGAACGAGTACAATTTCCTACTGAAAATGTTACCATGATGAGACCTACGTTTCGAGTTTGTAATCAAGAATACCTTTATACGCCATTACACGACATCATTATGTACATAATAATATCATTAGACTGCCGGCGAGTTTAGAAGAGTGATGATATACTTTTAACGCTATTGTAAATTTGAACGAATCGTGAATAAGTGTGATGAAATTAGTTGCTTTGCGACGCATTTGACTAGGACAGCTTGAATTTTTCCGTGCATTCTAGCAATAGAAAGATAAACACTTCTTCACCCATACCTGCTAGCTGCGTAATAAACGGCCATCGTAGATGGGCTGAATCTCCTTTCGTTGTTGTCCAGTGGACAGCTGATCTTGACTGTAGAGAGAATGTGCCAATAGACGTCGCAGAACAAAGTCTTCATAGATATTCACGCACCGCTCTTCGCGGGTTTTGTCCTCAAAAAGCGACGCTCCCTGAGCGGCCTCCGAATGAGTTTGTAATGACCTACATCTTCCCTGCCCTGACAGAATACACCTGACAGAAAAATGGCACGGAATGCGGAATTCGCAGACGTATATATACGTGTCTGTACATTTTAATACACAGCTATCCCTAGCATTCATGAGAGGAGCTTAGGGGATTTAAAAAATACCGTTTAGCTAACTCCAAACGACTGTGCGGTCTTTTGCTGCTTGTTACCCCATAAAGTCCGTCAGAATTCAAATTTTACGATAGGAAGCAGGAATTATGGAGTGCCGGATCGTACTAGATTCTAATCAACGGTAAGAAAAAACAAAAGCCTTGACAAACGATAACAACATGTGGAAATAAAAAGAATTCGGCTATACTTTATCGGATATTCCAGGCGGAGGTGAAGTTCACGTAGGTTAGAATGAAGCAACAAAATTGTAACTAACCCATTTGCTGACAGACAATTTTCGGGCATCCATTATTTATTTCTGACTAAAATGAATAAAATGCATCTGTATTTTAGCCATGCGCATGATTTAGACTAAAGAAATAGTTTGATTGCTATGGAGATTGCGTGACAATACAGAACTATATTTATTCATTGGCATTCAATTAGACATTCCATTTAGAACGTTCACGTGTTGCGGGAATCCTTTGCTCCTCGGACGTAACATCGCCCGAGGAACAAAGGACACCCTTCTTCGTTCAAGGACACACTAAACAAGTCAATTTCTCCGAACATATTGTACGACACGGTAGCTACACCTCACGACAGTATGTATATTTTGACATCAGGAAAGTTTTATATAAATCTAGCTATAATAGAATTAAAGCGTCGAAAAGGCGCATTGTTTATGTTGAACAAAAACTTCAATTTATTTAGGTACACGTACGGTTAATGGCCTAATAATCTCTTAGGGCTTTGCCATGTGCAGCAATAAAGCCGACCTACACAAACGTTGCTACCTGAATTGTCTTTGTTACATGAAAATTCGATTCTGATTTGCAAAAACGACAAATCGAAAACGTAGACTGCACACAGATTGGTAAAGCGAAATCGTCATAACAACTGCATCGGTGTATCGTACTTCGAGTAGATAACTTCTACAAATTTTGATCCCTGCCTCGTCCGGACGAACAAGCTAAAAATAGTACCACGTTATGATGGATAGCCAAACGACAGACCAAAAAGAAAACCCCTATCTTAAGAAAGAGCGTCTAATTTTGCTGAGCAATGCATGTTACAGATACATATCTAATAATTTACACAGCGTTTCGAACAGAGGTTACTCCACTGTGCAAAGCGTGAGGCAGAAGGCAGTGCTATCCCGCGTCCAAAGCCTAAAGTATGTGTATTTAAGTAAATTAGATAATGTCGAATACCAATTCAAGTACGTAGCTAAATTACGCAGAGCGATAGACACAGAAACGATGTGATTCTAGTAAGTAGCGCAGTTACGGTAGTGAATGTTGCTTAATTTCTGTACTTCATGGATTTAAATTTAAATTTAAATCCCTTGAGACGAGACAGCGCCTCCGAAAACGAGCATCAACCTCCTATTAAAAATGGTCGCCACCCACCAAATACGCTTAGATGTAGAAAAAAATATTTGTCCCAGTAATAGTATGACGAACTTAACAAATGCGCAAGCTTAAATTAAAGTCATTCCTGATTATTCCTACCATACCGATGTAGAGAAGCGCATCTTGAAAACGTTCGAACGGCGAACTAATTGTTGGGCTTCGGTATCGTCAAACGATATCTGGATTCGATGTCCGGAGAAACAAAATCTCTCTTTCCCCATACGGATTCCCCGTGACGGCGATAACGTCAACGCTCAACGTAAGTTGTTATTTCGCTTACTTGAGAAAAATAACTGTTTTGGGTATGATATATATTGTGCTAGTTGTGTTCATAGATAAAAACAGCAGATGATTCGAATGACGTTGGTAATAACTGACAATATTTATGCCGAGCCCAACTTTTGCCTTGTTCACTAGTTGATCTTGAACGCGCAGTACTTTACTAAGCACGGAATAGTAATTCGTGTACGTGGTTTGAAGATCTGAACTAACACGTTTATTGCTCCGATAGTTCCGTTGGATTCCGGTTGAAATTTAGAGCTTCACAAAATCTGCAAACTAAATAAACGACTGTCAAGAAACCATGGACGGACTGGATGGGAGTACATGAGGGGCGTCCTTCGTCTAGGATCACTTTGGAATCAACTGAGTTTGATGAACGGTCATGTATACACGAAGCAGTGTGTGCATCAGTGAAGATATGATTTACTCGATCTTTTAACAGAACAGAGATGTTGTATGTATAAGAATTGCTCTTTCTAGAGAGAGCGTTATTACTTAATTTATACTACTTAATTATTATCCGCTTTTTATTATAGATAGAAGTTTTGAGATAAGAAAAAAGAGCAAATAATATGAAATTGTAATCATGTTCACGGCTTTCATTCTAGTATCGTAACAATTATGTCGTATTTGAGTATGGGATTTACATTAAACGAAGGCAAATATTTAATTAATTGAATGAATTTGATGCTTTTAGGACATGTTTTTTTTTTGAAACATTTCATTTCAGCTCGACTCATGGTTATCCTAGCTATACAATTAGAATATTATATATGTAAAATAGATTAAACAACTCAGTTTAATGACTAGATAATTTTCTGCCGTATTTAGGCCTCGCCGGTACTTAAATTACCGGCTTAGCCAAGCGGCAGTTGGAAATGCCTAACTTTTTCAGCCGTCATCCTGGTCGAGATCCTCAGCGGAAAACATAATTGTATTACTTTCTGATATTGGCTAAAAACTAAATCAGTAAGAGAGCATTAAGTTATAATATAATAAAAGCATGGCTTTAAAGAAATTTTGAACCCTAAGAGATTGCCATCTTTTCAGAAGACTGTCGTGAAGTGCTAAGGCTCAACAAAACGAGCAAGGTTTGTATTGTTGCTTTGGTAAAAACCGAATCTATTTATTCATTTGTGCGATAATCTTACGAAGGCTTTTACTAAACCGATACGAATTACTATGAAAGACGAAACACTGCTAAGCCAAATATTTCGTCGTTAGGGCCAAATTTTTCAGTTCCTTCACGTTTCTCAGGTTTAATTGTCAATATCGTTGTTTTTATGTGAGCATTTTACTTTAAATTTAATATCATATGATAGGGTGAATTTGTCCCTGTTGACGATGTAGCTAACAAACTACGGATATTCTCACTTTTCATCGTTATCGATGTTAATATCGAATGTTTGAGACTATAGCAACAAACTTTAGTTTGTAAAAACAGTCACACGAAAGCGCTATGCACGAACCCCGTAGTGACCAAGCGCGGTCTTTTATTAGATTTTAGTGCAGGTTATTTCTTTTTTCTGAAGTCATTGAACCTGCGCGTATCCCCCGCCATCGCTAAGCAGGGGCTAGCGGAGCCCTAGTGGAATAGTGTGAACCGAAAGATGCAAAGGGAAGATTCTGTTGTACGTTCGAAACGACGCGCTGCAAGCCACAGCGCAGTTCGTTCTGATGATCAGAAAGCAGGGCTGTTACAACTGAACTCTTCAGAATGTCACTAATACGTTAAAAACTACGAATTACAACTAACTATGCATACATGAGTAACATACACCGCTAAATTCTGAGTCAGGCTAGATGGCTAAAAAATAACTTTCATGTTGCTATCTTAGACCGTCATGGAAATAGATGTGGCAGAAGACTGCCAACGGCCGTACCGTGCAATCTAACTTTGTTTGGATTTTTAGTAATTTTAATACATTGCTTGTCGCGTTTACGGAGCTGTATATTTCCATTACATTGGCGCTGTTATTGCGGTTTTACAACAAACAGTTTGCATAGAACTGTCTTTATATGGCTGTAGCATAGCCAGAAAGTTTTCTGCGTCCGTTAGAGTGCCATGCGCTCTTTCTGGGGTGTTTGTGTGTGCGTGTCAGCCTCTGTGATGACCACGCGAGCGTTGGTGAGGGAAAATTTCGGTTCGGGAAAGATTCGTGATAGCGAATTGGCTGGCTCTACTAGCGGGTCACAGATGCGCGTCCCAAGACCGACTTGTATCCAAGAGAAATCGCTTCGCTTGACCCAAGTCCACAGGTCTGCTTTGTCCGATAGTGATACCTGGCGCATTGCGACGCACCGTCTATCAATACAACATGTAAGTTCGTCTTGTATTCATGTTTAGACACACCTAGTTAAGTAATAAACTCAGCCAACTACTGAATACCCAAAAATAACTCGAAAATGCAATATCTCGATTAATTTTTGCTAAATTGTGCCACCTATAGATAACGGTGCGGAAACCGCTTACTGTTCTAATAGCGTTGTACTGTATTTCTGTATCAATTGTGACTCACTGCTTCATTTTACTTATCGTTGGTGTTTAATAGAAATTTATTCAACACACTTACTGGTTTTTACTGAAAAGACGGCTAAGTACAAAGCAAACGTTTATGATTCACGAAAGGAAAACTACAGGACCACCTTGACCATAGTTCATCTAATTTGAATTGAGCGCGTTAAAGGTTAGACTATGAAACGTCAATAGTACGGGAGAATGTGGGAAATATTGTTAATTACAAGTATACGATGTGAAGCGTTTGTTATTTGCCGCCAGACTAGCTTTCATGAATAATACCTTTGATTCAAAGCTAACTAGAAATAAAGTTATGCCTTGTATGCTCTTGCTGTTCCAAGCAGTATGAAACGAGTTGCATCTCTTCTGGTTTTGGTCATCTCTGCTGTGGTTGTGCTTGAAGCTACGCAAATTTACAAAGGATCGTATGCCTCCGGCAAACAGAGGAAACCATCGCTGCCAAAGAAATACCTTGTTGAGGATGGGGGCTATATAAAACACCGAAAGGTATATCGCTACGCCTATTTTTAAGATTTATAAATTTATCTAAAAAATTGCAATATACAAAAAAGTATATTTATTCATGGATTTCATTATCTCCAGGCAGTTCAGCTCCTCCTAGTGGTACGCCACTGAGTATTCTGTCAGATAAAACGGCGCATCATTTTTTCAATCGAAATCGTAATATAAAAGGGCTCCGATCCAACTTTCAGATCCGCGCTCTTATTTCCGAGCACGAATTGCGTGAGCGACATCGTGTTGGCCGACAATTGCCGGGCGTTCGTAATGGTGGCGGCGGGTACCTCTACAATCGCCCAGTGTATACATCCAGTGACCATTTAGCCGTAAGCATAACTATCGTGAGAGATCGAAGCGACACATTTCGTGCATGAAAAACGCCGCTATTATAAGTAGTGATCTAACATAAAACCTACCTTGTGTGACAACTGATGTTGCATACAAGGACAAAAAGTACACAGAATTGAAAATTCTGTATTTTCAAATTGCTTTAACTTTAAAAAAAATGTCAGTTTATCAGTCAAGATATGAGAATTACTCATGGTTTTTTATTGCACTAATACATGCCTGAAAGTATGGAGAAGAAAATCGACGAAGTTACGATATCATACAGAACCTATTTTATGAACTCAAAAGATATGCAACTATTCCGCAAACTCGCCCTAATATTGCCCTACAAGTCCTACTGCTCTCATTATATCTGCTGTTAAAATATTGATTAACCGATGGCAGGCTCGCCCCGCGCTCCCGCTTACGGAAGTTGAATCACACCCGCTGTCGAACTTCCCTGCACACTATACAGGAGATTTAGAAGATGAACCAAAAAAAGATGCTTCTAAAAGTAAGACGCCTTCTGATAGCGAAAAACCGTCCGCCCCAGCAAACGTTACGGTCAAGGTAAGCCTGGCTACAGTTTAACTCTTTTAAGCATGCATGAACGATCTCTGCATATGGAGTGCACGGACAAGATTGTCATTCACGCTGCTTTGGGCTCTACTACAAACGATCTATTTATTGCATGATTTCGCTAGAAAAAAGCGTCATCAAGCAGGGTTGTTACGATTCTTTTAGTCTGCAGGTTCTACTATGCGACTGCTTTTGCTTTATTTGGATAGATGATCCGTATATATGTACTATTTTTAAATACAAGAAGATACAGCACTTATTGTAGACCTACGTAAGAGACTGGAATCACTTCGTTTACTGTCTGTGATTTACAAGCCCTATTTAAATTCTATATTTTACTAAATTTTTCAAATTCGTTTTAAAAAAAAAATAAATAAAAAGTGAGCACTTCTTTTGTGGGAAATAATTAATTTCTACAGATTATACATTGCTTGCTCGCTTTTCTTAAGGTGCATATTTTGTTTAGCTCATATTCTGATGTAAAAAATAATTTATTAATGCTTTTTACGATGGACCAGGATGGCGCGATTCCAGAGGACGGTAAAGTGAAGGAGCAACCTGATCAAACAAAAAAAGTTGAGCCCATTGAACCGGAGGTACTGAAACAGGAGGTTTCTCAGGATAAGTCGGAGCCGGTGGCCATAGCAGTCCCAGCGTCCGCCGTTGTGCCTGTCGGCAAGAACATGCAAAGCGAACAAGACCTTGATAAGCTCAGTTCAGCTAATGGCGAGAAATCTGGTGCAGGCGTAAGTTAATTTAAGTTTCTTAAGCTAGCTTCCTGTGTCTGGAATTGGGCCATTATTTAAAAACACATTTACTCCATTTATGTATGCATATGAAGTCTCTTTCTCTTAGATTATTATAGTTTAAAATTATTTTTGGCTTATATGCGCTTGTCGTAATTTTATTATTAAAACAGGGATTTGCAAAATGCAACATGAGTACACCTTTATTGCTGGAACTATGCATATACGAAACACATCTATGAAGGATGAATTTTCTTCTATATTCGCTCCACTCTCCAGACAAAACATTATTAGTACACTCGATACGAGCAATGCCTACTTATGGTTGAATCGACTATTGATAAATCTCGTATATCGTTCGTCATTATTCCTATATAGAAGCTTATCATTGGACCCTAAAATATTGTAAAATTCAGTCCAACTGCAACAAGTTTATTAAAATGGTGAGGCTCAAATATTTTAACATTGTAGTACCGAATTTTAGTAATATTTTCTTGTACATGTTGTCTCAAATGATCCGTGTTTCAAAAAAAAAACTCAAAGGGAATATTTCATTCTCCTTTTAAACCACACAAGAATGCGGTGCACTGGAGCATTTCTAAACAAGACAAAAGAATCGCCTTGTGCTTTATTAAAAGCTGGGTAAGTAACCATCATAATTTCAATTTCAGGGGGAACCGCCTATGATTGTCAGTCAACAGGGAACCGTTTCCGGAAAGCCTCCCGTGGCGATGGAATAAAGCGAAGAAGCACTACCCTCAACGAGTGCGCCCTTCAGATAACGATTAATAGACATAATATATAAACATATATATATATATATGTGTGAGTGAGTGTGTGTGTGTGTGCAATAAATATGATATCTATTTATTTTAATAAATGAATCATTGTAGTACTAAACGCAGCACGAAGTTTTACTATCAGATATAATAATGTCAATGTGATTATTTAATTTGCAGAAAATGATCAGCTGTAGATCTGTTGTAAGTTTCTGAGGCCAGTCGGGTTAGGACGACGTTGCCAACACGATGGTCCCGATGCTGATATATTAGCAGCTTTACCGACTCCGAAAAATTTTATATAAAATTTTTCAACGGAGTCGGTTAGTACAGTTGCTTTCTATTTATCTTTGTATTTGTGACTCTCTATGCCACTCTAGTGCGACAAATTTTGAGTGTTGGTATTGTTTTTTTACAAAGGTTTACGTTTCGCAACGCCAATAGCCTAGCGATGGCTTCACTGCTTATGGGACGAACAAGACCAATTTAAATATGCTAGGAACAGCGTACCGTTTCTGATTTATCTCTTTTCGAAGTAAAGACTAGCAAGGTGAAGAGTCTTATCCAAAAAGGAAGAATGTGACGGCCTTGAACAAAAGTATTTACGCCATAGAATACAAGGGGACAATAGTGCACCTATGCTGAACACAATAAATAACAGTAGAAAAGTTCCCAACCAAAGCTTGTACATCGAACCGGTAGAGACCCGACACTATCAGCAGAGTTCACGAAGCGTACTGTGACTCGGAATGCGGTTGGAGGATGGAATCTTTCGTCGAAGTTGTACGTTTTGTGACATCACTAACTTCGAAGAATCCCTAACTTCGGTGAAGGTAACGTGCCGGCGTTGATGTCTGCGTTCCTCCAGGTTGTTCCTTTCTAGTCAGATACAGTCATTAAGACTGGGTCAAGAGGACGACCCACGATAGCGACCCGAAAGTGGTACAACTTATACAACAAGTATCACCTATAAGAAAGTACGCTAAGTCATTCGCAAAAGGCTGTAGTATAATAGTTTATATTTCTATGCTTCGAGTTTTATGTCCGGTGTCACCGTTAGACATTCTATCCGACCACAGGCTGTATAGTGTAATAACCATAACCATAGTAGAACCTAGTTATATCTTCTAGCTTTGGTTAAATTCTTATGGAAGGTGCTTACCCTCATGACTTTAGGTTGTTTTTTTGGATATCGTTAAGTCTGATAGCTTTACTCAATCTTTCGGCGCTTTTCAGCTTTTATTTGTCGGCTAATGCCGTTTCATGACCTCAGACTATAATGTAGAATACATTTTGGGCATTATGCAAAGTTTTTGCAATCGGGGCTAATGGCACGAAATCGTCAATCCGTTTGGCAGCTTTGCTACTGATTTGTCTGCAATATTCGTGTCAAAAACTGTTTGAGCTACCTAATAAATTACCTAGTAGATGATGATATTAGGCGAATTTTGTATATGTTTGAAGAAATACATACCCATATTTGATAGAAGCATAGTACTTCAGTTATATAACACAGTATTAATCTTGCTGCCTCTTTTAGGCCTGTAATTCTGTTATTATTGATTTTAAATCGATATATCTTTTTGTGGATAAAGGGCAGGCAAACACAATCTATTAGATAAATGTTCTCATAGAGCATAATACCGCACACAATTAAGATACTTTTAAATCAAGTATAGCCATTCCTAGATGTAGTCGAAAGGTAGTTACCTAGACAGTTAATTTTAGCTCTCGCCAAAGCTTAGACTGCCACTTCATTTTTAACAAAAAAAATTATTTTTCCAAATAAGTTTCGTTCACATCAGAAGCTTAGCTCTATCATACACACTTGGATACTACGCTACTAATCCATATATTCTACACAATCGAATGCTTCAATGCTGTACTTGTTAAAATAAGACTACCGTACTGCGGGCAAGCCGTATTTTTTTGCATTGTAAGACTATAACTAATTTATAAGATATTAAAGCGTTTCTGACAAAACATTTAGCGAATCTAAATAAATACAACAACAAGTTCAAGTCAGTTGAAGTTTTGACTCCCCCGGTTTTATATAACGTTAACAATTACTTAGTTCTTAAACTAAGATGTTTCTACAAAGCTTATAACCAAATGAGGGCATATTTCAGTATGAAAGTTGTCATACTCTATTTTCTACAAGTGTATTTCTATTATAATTTTTCAGTTTGAGCCATATTAATTCCTGATTTGAGTTATGCTAGTGCTGTTTCTTGTTAAAACAAAGTTGTAAAATTTGTCACGTATGGTCTATTGGCCGCATTATACAAGACTAAGACAGTTTTTATAACAAAGACTAGAAGACCCATGCATATAAGATATAAGATTTCGCCTACCAAAGAAAAACGTTGCACCTTCCAGCGATATCTAGCCCAGTATATGGTTTCTTAGTAGCACGGCGAACCATCAGAGCCCAAAGTCATACTATTACCTAAATTTTTTCTTTTTTCAGCTAGTCAATTCGTCCGTTCGCAGCTGTGAAAGAGATTGCGTAATTAAAAGATTGCCTAAAGAATTGACTAAGGTGGATGTGGTAGTCTCATTGGAATTATGCATTCTTGCCCAAACCGTTTGTTTGATTGCGCGTTCAACTTACTTTCTTTAGAGCATAGCTATATAAATATAAACAGGCATTTTTTCGAATTTTAGAGACTGAAACATCTTAGTACGTTTCAGTGAACCATTATACCTGTGTAACGCTGTGACCAAGCTCGAACATATTACCAGTACGGGGCGTAAACTTATTCAAGCTGGTCAAACGTAAGAACAAGCAGGGCCTAATAACTGTATAAAATAACAGTTCGCTTCAATTCTGTCGTTTCGATGGATGATTTCGTTATTAACGTCAAGTAACTAACACCCGTGAATTACGTCCGAAAGTTAAGCTATGAGAAGACTCTCTGCTACCTTACTGCTTAATAAAAGTGAACAAAAAATCACAAAATTGAATGTCGCTCGTTAATGTTGCAGTGTTTTTATTAAGTTTCATAATGCCTTAGATGAAACATATTTACGCAGTTTATAGATTCGAATAAGATCTCCGGAACTTGTGAGTAGTTTGAATGTACTTTCTGATGGTATCAGCGATGACAGGAATAAAAAATAAAATTAGTCCTGACCCAGATCGAATTGTGTAAAAGAGACTACTGTACAAAACTACTCAAGTTCTACAAAGTTAACTTATTACCTTGAATATACCAATGTTCTAGTACCATGCATGGGTAATGTATATTGAACTTAAAACGTATATAATTTATATATGTGTCCGACATAATATACGATCATTAGTTAGAGCGGGCTATTTAAAAATATATCAGGTATGACATAATAAGAATTCTAATAGCCTAATTTTCGAATGCGTGTATTAGTTTCTATAAGGTCACTAATATCTCATGCCACCATATACTACTTCATATTCCCCCTTACTAAAATTTATTACTGAGAGTATGAAGACCACAGTCGTCAATATACAGCGAAACATTCCTAGCGCAATAAAGCCTGCAAATTACGCTCCATGAACGACTGCCCTTGTGGGCTGTCGTTGAAGCCGTTTCTGAGCGATCTATACAGTAGATTGAGACTGCACATCTTCCTAGGCAGACTCCATGCCTTGTAGTGGCTCTTAAGCCTATCTTCGAAGGGTTATTTCCGCCCAGACGCCACCATATCATGGAATGCTTCATGCGCTGATGATTTACCACCTATTCAGTAATATGTTCTTTGTTCATTATGCCTCCTTACCATTCGCGATATCGGAAATAATAATCGATCAATGTTGAGAAGGCAGCAAATCCTACGGCACCCATAATACCTGGTTTAATTCCTGCTCGCAGACCTATAAGGCCTCCCGTTATTCCGCCAGCCATCGTTCCATTTTTCCAGTCACTTTTCTAAGACAGACAGAGTTAACGCAACAGAAACAGACACAGATTGTAAGGAGCAATGGAATAGAGTACCCGGATGGCTCTATAATCATTTTTGTCGCATCTGTAAATTTTTTTGAAAAATTTTTTTAAAAAAATCCGACACATACTTTTGTTCTACGAATAGGTGATCTGGAACTCCTTCTCTAAGACAGACTGCTTTATTTTGATACAAAAAAAAGTTTCCAAGCATTTTGTTTTAACGTTTTTCGACTAAACTATTTAAAAAACATTTCAATACTTTCATCAGATTTTTACGGTTATCTTATAGAAGTTATATAGAAGAAGAAATAATCAATTTAATTTGTTTCAAGTCATTTCTAAGTAAAAATATGTTTTTATAACAACTGATATTGATTACTATGTAAATGTTATAATGATTCTAATGAAATCTTGAAAGTTCTAACAATTTTTCAGTGAAGAAGATTCAGCAGAACCAACTTCAGCATTGTTATTTGCACAAAAGTTCATGCACGAAAGATTAACTGATAACAACATTGTTTATCATAGATAAAATAGGCTACTAGGATTTAGTTTCTATATATTTATCTCATTTCAGTGACGTATATAAGTTATGGAGTGAATAGGAGATAACGATGGTTGAACATTGGTCAAAAATACCAAATCTCAAGTTAATAGAGAAAAAGAGTGGCAGCACGTTTGGTATAAAATTTAGAGATATATATAATGAAACAAATATTTGATCCCTTTCCATAAAGAAACACTTCCCAAATCTTAAAAGCCAGGGCATTTAAAGTAAAATGAACTGCACCACCAGGCGCGCCTTGTTTTGCCGAAAAAAAAATTTACATTTTTTTCCTTAAATGTAATTGTTCATGCCATGAAAGCAAATAACATGACGCAAAATCGCGCTATATAATTCTCATCTTTATAGCGTATAAGCTTTGCTTAACAACCAATAATATTCCTCGGTTCTCCTTAAATAATTCGGTCGATAAATACAAAAAAAAACGAAGCCAGTAATCATCGTCTGTGGTACATGTATGTATAGTACTTCTTAATAATGGAGGTTTGTAGTATTTATAATAGTTTAACCCTCCATTATCATGTATTCTGTAACTTTACACTAAATACAGAAAGAGGCTGATGACTAAAAATACAACACGAACCCCTCGATGGCTTTCGATTGCGCACTCGACACCTGCAAAAATCAGTCCAACAATTGCGAAGTTTTTTGCATAGCCAACAGTTGTTGTCTTCATATCTCGAAAGATCTCGCGCGCCGTTTGTTTGGACGGATCCCCAACGTTTGGGTTAAAGGAGGCCGCAAATAGGCCCATAGCAGCGCCGAAAGCACCTCCCGCTACGAAACTTAAACCTGATTTAAATGCGCATGATTCAAAGAAGCGCTCGACACGGAGCTAATGAAGAAGGCATGAACAATCAGATGAAACAAAAATAATTTCATTAGTATTCAGTAAAATCATTTCATTATAAGGTTCATAAGCTAACACATCAACAGCGTCAACATCTCAGAAATATACTTTTTATTTTATTAATAATACAATACTGCTACTTACTTGAATAATCCACAACAGTTGCAAATATAAGTTGTGAGAATTTTCAGTTATCAAGTCCACATTCTGTTCTTTCGAAAAGATACATTGTTTAACCACCAGTAGTTACAGCAGTTACAACAGTAGCAATGCAATCTCTAATTTCTCTCGCACAACGTTAGAACTTGATAAAATGATCTTTTGTGTTACCTAGGGCCATGAGGTTCTGTATTCAGACAAGATGCTTGCTTAACTATATTACCTACCTCCTGAGGAGATTTTAGAAAATTGGCACCTGGAAGGTTAACTCCTTTCACCGCTATTGTTCTTCGTGGGCGATCCGGATCCAACACCATCGCTCGCATTTCCGCAAAGGTTACTGGAGGGGTCGTAGTTTCCGGCATTATGGTAAATTTAAAGTTCACTTAAATAAATAAATTAAGAATTGTTAACTTTCATTGATATACAAGCCTTGACCTTTTAATTTCGTAACTTCTGCTGTCCATTTATACCTCAACTACCAATATTTCTTTAGAGCACAAAAGTGAAACAACACATGCGTTCGTATCTTATTACAAAGAGCCAATTGCCGCCGATTCACCGGCGGATCCGCCAGCCATACGACAAAACAAACGTTTTTTAATTCAGGATCAAAAATTATGTGTTGCTTACTTACGCTGAGCTGTGCCAGGTTATCGTTTCATTATATAACTATTTTAAACTATTACACTATATAATTTATATAGTAGCAAAAAAAGCCTTAATATTGTTAGATTTAGTGCAGCGTTCATTTTGCTTTGTATTCTATCTTCCTGACTGAAGCTTCTATCTATATCAGCGAGCGGTACAAAGTATCATAGAACGGAATATTCCACGTATCTAAAATGCGATGTGTTTTTCAGCTTCTCCCCAATAAACATCGTAGTAGCATAAAAATTGTTGAAGCTCGCGCGAGCGTGGCAGCGGGTATGACAATGACCAAACTAATGGAATGGTTTTTTGGAATCAGTATGTTCATAACGGTGTGGGCCGCACTTCTTTCTGGTCAATTTGCGTTAATTGACAAGTCTCAAGAAATACACGTTCTCCTGGTGAGTTGGAATCTGCGTCAACGGTTTTTCTTAGGACAGAAAATCTGTTAAGTGCGTTAATTAATTAGCTGGTGTAGGCGCATGATCGAAAATGTAGCGAATTTTGAATATAATATTTTGCATAAATATATTGTTATTTGCGTACCGTCATGGAAACTTTTTTTTGGAGTTTTATGGGGACTGGCCAATAGATAATGACCCTCAATTAAATACTTTGATACCTTGAACAGATAAATAAGGTATAATTTAATTAAGGCAGTGATGGTACAACGTAATTTGTCTAAAAGCCAAAGTCAAAGGGGCGTTAGATTAGGTGTACTTTTCTATTAAATCACATCGATTTATAATGTCAGTATCGCGATCCAACAAATGATTACAATATCCTTACGTAATTAGTTCGAGAAATTTTATTGTTTAATTAATTAATTAATAATAAATTTAATTGTTTATTTTCATGCTGTCTTTGTCGGCACTGTAGTGGGTAGTATTTCGGGACTTGTAAGTAGTCAGACCTTGATTGCTCGTGATCTACTTCTCTTGTTTGAGCGTATCGTGTAATTGTATCTCATCAATGGCTTGTAAATCTAATTCGTTGTTAAAGATAAGATGAAATACCGAGAAATCACGATCATCTATACAAATCAGTTACCATAAAATGAACTAAAAATTAGGTAAATAAATAAAAAGTAATTTTAATTTGTTCTCCTTCTAAACCGTGTGCCAGCGTCCCCGTTAATAACTTAAAACAACGGTAGCAGTAACTGTTTGCATTAGCACACAAATATAGCAACTAGAACTTTGTATAATTCAACCACAACATTTTTCTTAATATCTTCAATATTTCTAACATTATTAACGTCTTTTCTTTCCAGCTTCCGATTTATATAGTCATCTTATTTGGGGTAAGTTTGTTCCTGAGCTTAGACTCTTCGACATACGATTCATACATTTGAGCAAAAAACAAGGACCAAGACAGCGGGATGTTGCAACTAGCCACTGCTTATGTCGGATTCAGTCAGTTATCCACAACGTCGATATAAAAAGAAATTATAAAGTCGGTTTTTAAATAAACAGTTGTTTATTTAATGTGTTTTTTCTTACACGCACAGCTGCATTATGACGTACTATATACTCCTGTTAATCGGCCTGTATATTTAGGCATATTTTTGTTATTTTTATTCACATATTTGCTTTTGTGCATTTGATTCACAGTTGTACGCAACCGCTGTCGTAATTTACCGGGTGTTCACTTTCAACGACTGTGAAGAAGCATGCGAGGAGCTAAAACGGCAAATTAACGAAGCCAAACAAGATCTAATCTTGAAGGGCTTTCAGTTTACATAGTTCATATTTTTTTAAATAGGGTCGTGAAGTGTAAACTGTGTATATATATACCTGATATGTACTGTCATGCTGACAGTAATATTTATAAACTAGAAATGTAATTAACACGAATTTAATGATTTTTAACGCAACTATCGCCACTCTTGGAATATATACTTATAGTCTATTGTCGTTTAAGTGGAGAAAGAAATTTTTCTGACACATTCAGCATCAGAAGTTGTAGTTAGCCTGCTAAAAGCTATTATCCTGATTGAATTGGGAACTGGTTTAGTAGTATTAATAAAGGGATCTCGATGGATAAATCTGCTATATTTTTGTACTGGTGAAGTAAGTTTCTCCTCATACAAGACGAAATTATAAATGGATTGCTTTGGCCTGGTAACTGAATGATATCCAGTTGTTGAAATATCCTGTGCCAAGCTAGCTAATAGCGGTTAAGCAGGGGGCCCGAAGAAAGACTTCCGATATGCATCTTCTAAACTATATTCTTTCCATTTCTGTCGATGCAGTACATCTCGAAATAGAAGTAGCACACCGTAACAAACGGTACTTTACTAAAACAATGTAGGGATTTTATTAAAAGTAAGGTCCGAAGCATGTTGACACAAACCGTATTTAGGTAACAATAAACATTTAAGAGTAATTATGTAAATATAATTCTTAATATTTGCATAGTCTCAGCAAATAGTATGATGTGAATATGAAGATCAAGCCTTTTGGTATTTTTCCGCAGAAGCAATAGTTAACTTTAGTCGAAATTAATAGAAAGAACACTGTAAACTTGTTGTCTGTGCATACACCTATTGAACATGTCTTGGTTACCTATTCCAGCAGCTCTTCCAAGTACTAAAATGTCGAAGTCTTGAACTGTAGACCGTATTTGGACACCCAACAAATCGTAATGAACAATAGCGATTATGTCATCTTAGCCTATTTTATGCAGCGATTCTATTTCACTGTTGACCTCTTCGAGGGCTAGGACGCCCCTTGAAATAGATGAGTTCGGATAATGTGATTCAAACTTTGCCGTTTCCAAGTGCTCTCTGCAAGCCCTATTTTGGATGTCATCCAGCGTTATTCTCGAATAAAACCGAAGAAATTACTTGAAGATGCTTAAAATAAGCTAACGTGGTTATTTTCTTAATACATTTAAACACAATATTCAGAGTTAAATTGTTTGCTGATGTGCTAGGCCATCCATTTATTTTCATTATTTCGTACCCAACCCTTCATTAGTAACATTTTTATACCAGCTCTCCATTTTCTTTTTCACGTCTTGGCAACTTACAAATATATAAAGCATATACACAATCAATAGTACCATTTAGCGCAGTCCTGTTTGAGCAATTTTTGGAGATTGTTATAGGTGACATAATTTTAATCATTGTCAAATATATTATACGCACTGAATACGAAATCTGTATAAGCAAGTATAACATAACACTGTTTTACTTTGTTCTAGGTCCATTGTTTAGCTGTTCTATATTCTTTTTAGCATCTTTTGTTTGCATTTCTACACCCACCTGTATTATTCATCACATTCTATGAAATCATTAGTTTAGTGGGTAAGGATTGCTGAGGATTTGACATTCGAACAAACATAAGAAAAGTTTGAATTCTTATGCAAGGTTCTGTTTGAAACACAATGAGACATAATGTCATACATTTTTTACAAAAATAAATCTCTGACATAGCGTTTTCCTTAATCTTGCTAACAGTAATTAGACCCATTATAATTTGACGACGCCATTGCTTGGCGCTACAAATATCATGGGGTCTTCACCGGTGACTTGGTTATCCCCTGCAATCAATCATTCTCAAAAAATTTTTGGCGCCGTTTTCGTACTCATCCCTTTAAGATCCTGTGTAGAGAGATCACTGTTCCGGCCCTGGTGACCTTGGACTTTTTACTGACTGCTTCGATTGGCCAAATCATTGAAAAAGAGTTACCTGAATTACTGGTTTTCAATTTAATTACGTGGAAATGATTTCAAACGAATATAGGTTAGCTGATAAAGAAATTAGTCAATATTTTTATTGCTAGTTACCTTTTTGAACTACATCGCCGGGTATTGGCATCAGTGCTTTACGCTTGACGATGTAGGTCATACCCGTTCAATATTTGGGAAAATAAATAGTTGACGTTTTCCATATCAACATACAGACCTAACAGGACGTCGGATAGCATTCAGAGGAGCGTCGAATATCACTAAATACTTCCCCAACTGAAATATGCGGAAACCGAAATAGAAGGGAATATTGTGAAAAGCCTTCTGTTTATCTAAAAAGGCCAGTCGACGAGGGTTATTATTGTCCTGTTAGTCGACATGATATTTTACAAACAAACCGCAGTGAACCAGTTTATTTAGTTAAGAGACTGAAACGTTGCTTACGTATTGCGAGGCAGTTACCATCCCGTGGACAGGTGTCAGTAGAGTTAACTTAAGGGTTTCTTCGCAATCGGGGCCTCTGTCTGAGTCGAACACCATGATGAGACAATCGGGATCGTTGCTAAAACGTGTTGTTAAGACACCTTGTTTCTGCTCGTTCCGAAAGTATAGTTGAAAGATGGATCGAAAAATTACATAATTATAGGGAAAATAGACAGGCATACTATTGGAATGAAAATATTATGAAAAGTACCGGCTGCGCGTATTGCTTTTATTAAAAACGGATATTTCCACGAACTTAAGACATGTGAAACTCTGACCTCCTTGCACGACTGACATTCTTCAGTCCTAATTTTTCGCGTATATTTATTTCTAACCCTCTACTCGGATACAAAAAGCGTTTCAGGGTTAAGGCTATGTTCATTTCGTAATACGGTTTGTTTTCTACTAGAGGTATTAATTTGTAGGTTACATATTCCGTGCATGCAATGGCCAGTAACCGTTTGCATATATACTTACATCGACGTAAGCCCTAAGAACAAGTCCGGTTGAGAGGGACATGACGTCTACTGCCTTATCGAGCGCTGCAATCACTAAAAAGTCATCCTTCATTTGCCGCCCGGGCAATTTGCTGGAATGAAATAGTGTCTTCGTATTGTAAACGATTGTAGGTCATTTTCCTTGCGAGGCTTTTGATTCTACAACATGCAACCTTCGAAATAATTTTGATTTTAACATCTATTTCGGCAGTATATTCTTGAATGAGATTTTTATTTTTTACATTTGCGGCTATTTTGACTACGGGAACAGGTCTCGGAGTCACCTTCTTTTCGGCACAGCACACAAGATCTGCTTCCGCTAGAATGTCTAGCCAGGGTGCAGCCTATCTGGGGTTTCTTCAAGCAACCTATGAAAGGATTTGGCAGTTACATACTATAGTAACTATCTGCCAGTACTAAAATTCAAACTCGCGATGGCCGCATGGTTAAGTTTGTTATGGCAATGCACCTAAAGGGATGCGCATTAGCTACCACGCTATTCCCATGAATACTGCTTTACAATTGAAATGATTTAAGGACACTGCTGGTAAGTGACTAGTTAATAGCCAGTTGAAATCTTCTTTTTTTTTAGGCCACACGGCCCGGGAATGCTGTGTGGAATAGCTGGATTGTTTTGACCGCAGCATAATAAAACGCGCTACACGTTTGGATTTCCCTCATTTTTCCCAAATTAGCTAATTTTGCTTGCTCACATATAAACTGAATGAACGTGAGGCTCATCAGCGTCGATGACATTGTTATCAGACTCATTACATATTAATTTTTGCCCTTTATAAACGTGAACACACGAATCACACGTATAATTTCGAACAAACTTGCTAGACAAAGATCCAGTTATTGACGACGCATTAGGATGGCCGGTCCACAACCAAGCTCTAACTGATTCCAGCGGCACTTTTACGGATCCAAATGGTTTTAGCTAGTCTTAACGGTAAGCCTGCGACCTTGATTTTCGAAATCAAGTTTTTTTACCATTTGCTTAGTGAGGCTTTGAGCTTAAGCTACCGTATATATAACAGAGCGGCCGCTGCCCTAGCTACTACTGAATTAAAGATGACTGCCCGTGTCAAAAAAACAAAGCGATGTTCCCCTCTCGATGAAGAAGAACTCTACTTGCTGCCGATAGATCCAATTTCTTTTTTACAAATTAAATGGCAGAAAATACACAAGACTAGTAAGCTATCGGTCAGTCAGTTATAATATGCTGCTACGTCTACCTCAAAAGCCTTATAAATTCCCCTTTAAATAAAATAGCTATTTTGATACAAAAAATAAAGCATACATGTCCACTAGCCGACTAAGGAATCTACAATATTGTATAACTGAGTGGATTATAAGCCTCGCGGGCAAAGACAGGATACACAGAGTAACTAATTAAAGAAAATCTTTCACAGGAACTTTCTACATAACAGTATATGTTGCACAGGAGTGCTTCGGACATCACCACTCCAAAATAATTTATGGACTTGTGCATGCAATCTATGAAGAATGTAATATAAATGTTAGGTGCGTTAGGATAGCTTCAAAGAAGCCTTTGTATTTTACTTTTTGAAACGTCAAGAGACTTTCGACTTAGACTGTAAATACTTTATAGTATAATGTACTGCGTGATACCAATATTAACAGTTCTGTACTACTTATCCTCATCGATCTACTAGTTCTGTTTTTAGTAGTCTTCACTAGCGCAATGTGTCTAATGATACATTTAATTCTTCATACAATACCGCGTATGTATGCGCTCTTGACAGCCTGCATAGGACTTGTCAATAGTTTACTGGAATATATGGCGTCGGTGAGGACTGTATATATGTATCAATTTGTGAAAGTGAACAAAAAAGTAAACTATTTTATTATACAAATTCCAGTGACGAATTTAGGCGATAAAGCTTACGAAAAAAAATGTTCATATATTTTCCAAGTAGAACAACTTACCTAATAAACGTCCAGACGAAAAGTTCGTTACTTAAATCCTGGGCTGTCTTAGCTGCGTATTTTCGCTCGTTACAATGGTTAGCTACGCGTTGGAGAGTAGCCATCTTTGAATAAAGCAAAGTAAGATAATTGTATAATTCACACATGTTAAATTCATCAAAAAGATGCATATTTTTTCTATTTTGCCTAACTACGCAAGAATAATTGCTATACGGATTCTATATGTTTAGGTAGGTAAATTAGTACAGTATGAAGGAAAAATACCATCCTTCCAATTGCAAGTTTACCAAATAGTTGTTAGTTAACGCTTTTCAGGCTCACCCAGTTGTAACCCATAAGTTCTTTTTCGTTGACCATTCAGCCTTTTAATCTACACAAGAAAAATCGCCAACGATTCACTTCAACAAATACGAATAGGAAAAACTGTTCTGTCAAGAGAACTTATTTTAAATTACCTCTTTATATGGACACTTTGCTAGATCCAGAGACGCGGCCAGCAGACGATGGACTACCAAATCTGCGTAACGACGAATTGGCGAGGTGAAATGTGTGTACAAGGGTACTGCCAATGCAAAATGTCTAACAAATTTACGAGTTCCATTTTATTACAATGTGTTTTGCTGCAAACACAGGAATCCATATCTAAATTCAGCCCTGGTTAAAATGTTCTAATCTGGTAAACTTTTTTGGTTTTCCGCGTATGTGCTAAATTACTGCAAGCAACATCTAAATATCCGGGTCTGTCCAAATGAAACACAAGGTAAAAAATTGAGTACAGGTTATACGCATTCATTTTCTGTCGTTTTTTTACGCAGACGCCATTGAAGTATGGGCTCCAAGGTAGCAACGTAATTGTCAAGTCGTCAGGGTGTTCGAAAGCAGAGCAGTGCAAAGAGCGATTTTCGTCAGTATGTACCTGTAGTGGTCTGTGTTGGGCATACTGCCTGCTACAAAGTAAGAGGCAGGCCTAAATGGCTTTGAAAGGACGTTACAGAGCGCACCCAATAGCGCATCGCGTGCAGAACGGTCATTACGTCTTAAACAGGATGAGATCGAGTCAACTACCTACAGGAACGTACAATAAAAAATAAGGAACAACGCGTTAAAAAAAGCAACGTAATTTTTCACTCTGTATGAAGGTGAACTTCACTCTACTGTATGCACAGTAGAATGGACGACAAGTGGATTATACTGTAAATGTATTTACAGTATCATTCATTTGTCGGATACATATACCATCATAATAAAAATTATTCTATTATATATTTTGTACAAAGACGTATTGTTGAAATTCGAACAGCAGATAACACCTCAATTAAAGACACCTCAAAAACTGATTACCTTGATACGATTGGACGAATCAACAACATCAAAAAGTGATTTTTGTAGATCTCCAGATGTCCTTCCATTCATAATAAGGTCCTCGAATTTGAATGATCTGAAAGTAATATTTTGTAAGCACAAAGCGATTCAATAATAGGCTTAAACATCCACACTGGCTATCAACAAGAGTAGCACACCCACCGAAAAAATTGCCATTTTATTTACGAAGTCAACAAAATGTCATAACCTTTCAGTGGTAGTTTTTTTGTAACGTGTGCAAAAAGCAGTTGCATCTTGTTGAGATACTTCTTCCGACTACTGTTCTATTATTATGGAGTTTCTGAATAAAGTTTGTTCGAACCGGTATCAGCTGTGAGCCATTTCCTGGGCATGCAAAAAAGAATATTTGGGTGGATTTTATTTTTTAGGAGGTCACACAAGTCACGTCGGGAAAATGAAGTGGTGCGATGAACTAGTAATGTACACGATAATAAGTAAATGCGTTATAGGTAATATTAAATGTTAAAATGAAAACTGAGATATTAAAATTCATCAGCTTAACACCTTTCGTATTACTTTTCAATTACCTAACTATCGTCTCCAGGCGTCTCCAATCAGGCGGAGGGTGATTTCGCAAAAACGCCATTTCAGGGAAGTACTTTACCAATTGATGAGCCACAGCCATGTTTGCCTGCAGGGGCAATATTATACTTTATTATACTGTGTAACTTCATGTGATCAATGACTATAATATATATTTATTTAATAGGACTAGATTTTTAAAAGTATAAAATTCAATACGTCAAATTAATTAAGATAACAAGCTACACTGACCTGAAGCATGAATTCCTCGATGAGTTTGTGGCTTTCAGTGTGCTCATATATAGAGAACCCCTGGAATACGTGGTAATATTAATATGCCTCTCCAGTTATTTTTGCAATAAAGGAATAGCTAAAGCAGGTTAGCATGATTTCAGGATACAGTCTTGAAATTGATCTCAAGAGTCGTTCTCTAAGATCTCTCGCGCCTTTATCATTACCGAACATACAAGTTGTAAGAGCATGATTTTTGGCACGGAACTTTAAATAGGCGCAAACGCTTATATTACAGCAGACACGTCACGTGTTGTGGTGGAATCTTTCTAGGTAGAATTGATCTTAGTTATTGTACGTACAATTAATTGTCAACGGTTAAATGAAGATACTTTATGATGACGTCTGGAATTTTGCAGGTCTGAAACATGACAGCTCCTACTGTAATTGAATGGGTTCATATTAATATTCATAGAATAACTATACCTGAGGTGTCGTTCCATCATTTGCAAGAGCGAATTCCAGCCGAATTTGGTCAAGTCGAAGACATCCTTTCGCTACGCGCCGTTCACGCATCTTTGTTGCCATCCCATTAAGAATGTTGATAGACTTTAAGGCAGGAACCAGAAAAAACAAATATTCAGACAATAAATAGAAAAACAAATTATTCAGTCGGCTATCATAGTAAGTTCATATTTATTTCAATGGGCCGTTATTTAATTTCATGTTCATTTACCTTATTAATATCGGACACCGTCCAGCACCCATATATGTTTGGTAACTCTTCTGGCCTCCACTTATGATTTGGAAAATCTGCAAATATTGTAAATCGGCGTTAGTGGAATCGAAATTGCATGGGTAGTACAAGTGCGGATTATGATCGTCGATTATCGAATGAATAGCCGTGGCAAAAGACACAGCTTTCAGGCGCCCTGCTGCATTTTGGACTTTAAAAAGCTCAGCATCGATAGGACGTACCAATCATTTGCTGTGCATGCTCGTAACTCAGTTGACAGCTCGAATTGACAATGGAGCGCCCGAACCATTCATCAAGGACTTGGCCTTGTGAGTTCATTTTCCACACGACTGAAAATGTCAACTGCCAGAAATAAATTTTAAAATCGATATTGAGGCGCGAAATTTTAAAAAAAACCATAACGCACATTATTTTAGCTGTCGGGTTGAAACAATATTCTGACAAGACTTTTTGTCTTTTTGACGATATTCTTTCGTAATAAACAACCAAATTACCACGGTGTCTAAATAAAAAGCGCTGTATCATACAATTCAAGTAAGAACAATTCATTGATCGATGCGGATGTGTTGTCGTCGTTCAACCCTCAGATTAATTTACATTTCTATATAATAACCTACATCTTTGTTTACCTCTATTGAATTAAAATGAAACGTCTATATTATTGTCAATCCGAACCCTAATTTAAGGTTTGTTATCCGCAGCCGACGATTCGAAGCAGCGACTGCAGTGAATGAGATCTTACCCTGTCAGTACCAGCAGTAAGAGAACAGAGCTGGTCACATAAAATTCTCGGCAGCATCGGGATTACCTTTAAATAATTAGATATCAACTAGGTTTATCGTTATTAGCAAATACGAACGCTTCAGCAAACGTTTTCCAAATAAAGTTTTCGAAATCCCAAATAAGCCACATTCACTAATTATGTAAGTCAGCTGAAACATGCCAAAAAATCTGGCATTTGCAATCTACCTATCAAACGAAAATAAGTTGAAGAGAATTATATAGAACTCACTTTAGGCATGTCTGTTAAAACAAAATCTGATAGCAAGAGCAGTCATTAAGCAAGCTTGACAACTTAGGCTTACCCTTTGAACGAGGTAGACAGACGTAGCTCGACTCTCGGCCTTTTTGTCGACTTTACAACCGGAGGGTATAAAATAACTAACGTCTGCAATATGGACTCCGACCTGTAAAAGACGTAATTGAACCGATATGTTTTTTATTTTGATTAGCTGAAAATGGAACACACGACAAAACGTAGTTTGGCAAAACCGGTATACATACAGTCATCGTTTATGAAAAAAGTTGACAATAGCTTATAAGAAAATCAGATTTGAACAGTAAGGTCTTCAGTCCATATTTTCGTACATTAATCGTAATCTGATATGACAAAGGTAAGTAACTTTCCTATTACGTGTTTTTTAATAAGCATAATATGTAATAACAATTTTTAAGAGAATCAGTGAAAATTAATTACTGACATTATTCTTAATTTCTAATAAGGTACTGCTTGACTTCGGTCTGAAAATCGCTGCTAAATATGAAAAAAAATATCAAACCAAATTTACCTCATAGAGATTATCAGCAATTTGTTTCACAGATAAGGCGTCGTCCAGATCCCTGGCCGTTGAAGGATCGATTGATACTACTAGCTCGCGACGAAAGTCTCGCCTCGACTCAAACTCCTTGGTTGGAATCGTCCAGTCCGGGCGGACAGGTACTGATAAGTCACTCAAGATCTAAATTGTTACACAAATTGGCAAAAATGAGTACCAATTTTGCTTCGAAAAGCGGAAATGTTTTAAAAACTATCGAATTGTCATCTACACTCTTTGTAAATACGAATAAACAGTACTTTTGTATGAAGTACTGTTTACCAATACGGGAACAATACATGTCGTTCCTGCAGCTAGATAAATAAGAAACAAGAAATTAATTCTTCTGCAATATATACATGTATATTAGTGACCGCTTCATAAATATATGAACCGCGTTTGAGAAAAATTGCGGTAACAACAAGTAGACAGCCCTTCACGGACTTGAGAGCTGACAACTTGGCTTACATCCTCAGTATATTCTTCGAAGTCAATCGCTTGACTCGTAAGGATCGCCATCGTCTCAGCTTCAACATCGCCCGTTTTCCCTATGAGCTTAAGTAGCTCTCCTTGAGGCAGTTCCCAATGCCCCTTAGGGTCCGGTAGACCAGGCCATTGCACCAATCGCGCGCAGTACAGCGTTTTCGAATAGTCGAGCGGACGCTGTGGAAAGATTTTAAACATAGAGATACCCATTAATAACTGAAACTGATTGAAACGATTATCATTAAGAGACACTGTAACATAATGCTTATTTAAATTGTTTGCTTCTGATGAATTTATATTCATTCTGTAGTCAAAAAAGTAAGGAAACTAGTTAATTTCCACTTAGACTCATTCAAGATAGAAGAAACGCCAGTACTTGCCATAGTCTTAGCTTAGTTTAAAACGTACACGTTATTTCTAAAAGCGTTGCCACACTATCATGCGGTTGACGTTAGGGTCACGCGAACAATTGGCTAAGCAGGTGTGGTAAGTGCATTACCTCGAAGAAATTTGGCGGGCACTGTCCTGCTGGGATCCAAAGATGTGGGAAACGCTTGTCCTGCGGGACAAAGAGCGCCGCTTTAGGCCTTTGCCGGTTACCATGTTGATAGTGCTGTGCCGGCTTCTGTTGATCAATTTGGTGCCAAAACTCGTTTTTCATTGTTCGAAGAAGGCCGCAACTCACCCTAGGGCCGGTTTCGGAAACAATACCAATAACTCGACCTGTTCGTTGTACAAAACGGCCCCACTCCGGATGTTCGAAGATTAGCTCTAATGGATATTCAATTTCGCAGGAACGCGTTTCATTAACAGCTGGATTATCAACCACCGCGCACGCAACCGCCCCTCCACCAACGGCCTCGGATACGGATTTCACTGACACGCCGTCTTTACTTTCATTTCTAGTGGTGACATCCTCAGGTGCGGTATCGCTGTTCCGTACGAAATCGAATAGCGAAATTTTGTTATCCGCCTCCCACTGCTGAATTGATTTTACCTGAATCTGAAGTTTGATGATACATATACGTAAATCGATAGATCCTTTCGAAGTTTAATTTATACACATATGTACTAGTAGATAGATGCAGAATTAAGGGTTACGTGCAGTCCTTGGAAGACAACAGAGTGCATATAAGCTTTTAGCAGGTTTTTTACTTCATTTTGGCGTAAGCATTCATTCGATATCTGAAGGCTCATTTTCTAGGAATAAACGTGTGAAGTGTTTCTATAGAAATATCGTAAATGTCTGATAGCTGGCAGATACATAAATGCCCGATGTTTAGTTGCGTGTAGTTATTTCGACCAACTCAGGTATTACTGTTACAGATTCTTCAATGGGCTTTAAATATTACATGTCATAAATGTGAGCTGTCATTTTAACATAGTTTTCATTCATTCCTAATTGTTCGTTTTTCAGCGCTATAACCTTCAAACGAAGATGTCTTCGGTAGGGGCGCAATGCATGTAATGGTGAGCACTCTCAAGTAAAATTTAAAATAGGATGATCAATGTAGTGATATTCACATTAAAACAGCTTTATATTTCTATAGTTTTGTTTAAAGATTCAATTAAGGAGTGATAAGCTACAGACGACATTAAATAGGCCAATTACAAAATTGGCAAGAAAATGATCATAGAGTGCGATGGTAATAATCAGGGGCTTGAACTAAAATAGCTACAAGTAGTTGTTTACTCGCATTTGGAGCTGATAGCGAATTGCCTATTGACTTTAAAACGTTTTCAAAATGTCTACGCTTTCATAGAAATCAGCAGCTTTATATAAGTCTTTTAGCTATAGCCACATACAGGGTACTTTTATATCTGTTGCGGAAAAACGGTATGTACCTTCCACTTTTCTCGCGGTAGAAGTTCTACTGCGACTTGATCTCCATTCAGCGCACGGCCGCGACCGTCTAAACCTTCTAAGCGGATATCCCACTGGCACTTGCCTCCTTCTGCATCATCCTGCAACACCGCACAGAATATATTTGAATAATTTACTTATAAGAAGTCATCTTTTTTGCCAACAGCAGAATTTCGAGTGTGTTGATTACACAAGTGGCTTATTTAGTTGGTTTTGAAAAGTGGCGCGATTTTGGGAAATACACTCGTCAAGCGTGATCAAGTCTTAACAGCACCTGTTACCCTTCAACCGCGGATGCGTATATATATATGTGTATATATATATATATATATATAGAGCGTATTGTAAAATTCCAAGTCGATGCTAATTGGGACCCCTGCATATACAATATTCTTTTTCAGAGAACTATGAGATGGCGTAACATAATTTAATCATGAAAGTTGAACCTTGTATAAAAGTCGCACCCCCCTTTGTTCTGAGAGATGTTGTCTAAAAAGATATTCGGTTGTGAACGCAATCGATAATTCGACTAAAAAATGGGTTTTTGCATAAGTTTCCTTTTCTACGTAAAGCGAATCCTACGCAGTCTTTCCGGAGACGGCGTTCATTTTAAATTCAGCTGAACAACAGTATGTGTTGTTAAGTTCGGCAAGACGAAATTATATTCATCATTGGTTTCTGCTTCTTTAGATAGAAAACGGGTCTACTAAGAAATATTTTATTATGGAGAGTAGTTTAAGGCGGCTAGGCCAAATTCTCTCTGATTCATCGAGTATTAGTTGAACATTTAACATTGAAATAAGGTAATGTTTCAATGAGGCTCAAATCAGATGCAAGACTTTGCATGACAATGTTCGGAACTGCAACTATGAACCATAACAGAGGGTCTTGCAATTGTTAAAGGGCCACCCTGGCGCTTACTGATACAAAATCTTTACAAAAATGTCTATGTATATGTTTAAGCCCGCCAGGAACCTGTAGTCATCTATTGGCAAATACCTAGCTGTGACACTGCTATATGGCGAGCGCATTAACATGCGCCAGAAGATCATAAGAAATGCTTGACAACTAGATACTGAAAACGTACTTAACTTTAAATGTACGTCGAACCTGTGGTGAATTCCATGATTAAAAATTGCGCTCTAGAGCACCTACTATGACAATATGCATCATTAGAGCGAAAGAATCCTCTACTCTTACTAGATCAAACTTGTGCAAAAAAATTGACGTTATTATGCCTTAAAACTTAAGTTTGATTCTAAACAGACGTTTCGACTGCTACACCATAAACTACAGGCTTCTGTCTTTATCACCTGCCCTCCTCCCTTCCATGGCCTGACATAATGACAAAATCTATCAATAATATCATTTTATTACTGAGAAAAAGATTTCGTAAATACTATTTTTATACTTTTTTTTTTATCTCATTTTATCTTAAACTTACAACCACTATTTACTTTTTCCCTGCTTTTTACAGCACAGAGGTTCCGCTCGCAAAGCTCTTTTAAAAGGGATGTTGTCACGCAATCACGTATTTTCATAAGTAATGCAATCAAAATAGAAGGGATGTCACTTTCACAATATTATTGATTTGCAGCACTAAATAGTACATCGATATTCAACGGTCCTATTGGGATGAATGTCTTGTCTACTGAGCCTTCTCACCACTTCGGCAACTTAAAACTCTGTGTTAGTTATAGTCAAGCAGCCATAAAACAGCCTCTATCGATATTGATGGAGACCAAGTGCTCGTTAAATAATCCATTCTCCTATATCATCAGACATTTACAAGTGTATGTGCCTTAGGAAAATTAGCCAAGGACAGAAACGTCTATGATTTTCGAACGTTTTCCGCGAGATAAAGTTCTATACGCATTCTACAATTCTCATGTATTTGACAACAGCAAGCCTTTGTATAGTCATGTTGAATTATACCTAAAATCACCTCAAAAATCGTTTCGATTTTAGATATTTTTCTATTTTACATACCGGCATCCTTACGAAAGCTTCTTCAGAATTGCGCCGATTAATGCGAATCGTCCCCTAGAAATGACAAGGTATAATGCGTATTCTATCAGCATTTCTTCCTATTTCTACCAAACAAACTAATTGTAATTGTCTTCATGCTGAATCTACCATACGTACGCGTACTAAATAATGTACTCATTAGAAAATTTCACCTCTATGCAAGTGCCATCCAGCTTCTTAGCTTGTACAGCTTCTGGTGTCAGGAATGACTCTAACGCACACAGCCTAAAATCACCAGAAAATAGTGGATGGGAAAGTAAATCCGGTTGCTGAAGAGACTGCCTAGCCGATTGTTGAGAAGATTCCTGCGTTTGGTGTCGGTCGTTGTCTTCGATTGTCTCTGGTCTGTGTGAAAAAATGCAAATTTAATATAATTTGCCTTGAAACATTAATCTTCTAAAATGTCACATAAAAGCTCATAAGTTCATATTATTTGAACGCGAAAAAAATTATAATCATTTGAGGTTACGTTTACGATAAAGTATCGCTCAGGCTCCCCCACCAGGTTAGGCTTCCCGAATTTAACCTAGCGTATGTAACCAAACAATAAATAAATGAAGCACTTTTCGTGTGCCTTTTATCGTAGTTCAAGTATTCATTCATTGACATCTGGAAAATCGTCGATTTGCGTAGCCAAATCCTTTTTAAATAACTGAACAACCACCTTTAAAAGAAACCGCTGTAGCGGCGGACTACCGCAAATTTCCCGTTCAACGCAACTCGTACGCAACTATTTTCTTGTCATTAATACCCAACGTAGTTTGCCCAAAAGCAGATTGATGGCACCGCTACTTTTATTGCGGTGCTCACATTACTCGTCCACGATCAACTTGAAGCTTTTTAAGAAGACGCTAAACGCATCATGTCCAGGGGAATAAGAACAAGCTACCACTTGTTCGTTCGATTTCAGCATCCGAAGCTTTCCAATAAAGACCAATGGTCTTCCCGTGCTGTCCGGTCAGAATATTAACCAGTTCTCATACATAGTAAGCATAAATGTTGACACTTCCTAGGTTGATATCTACAAGTAGTCTACCAGAATTCTTCATAGTTTTTTGCTAGTGTAAAACATGACGACACTGATACTTTTCAAATGTTTGCGCCCGAGCAAGTATAATGGAAAGAACAAAACACGGTCTGAACATCTATCTTTTGCATTAGCAATTCTTTTCATATACAATATAACAGGCAAAAAATATATTCTCGCTTCGTTATGGGCGTTTTTTTCTAACAATGGAATAATACGTTTTTGTTTGCTAAACTTAAACGTAAGGTTAAGGCGTTATTGTAATAAGCCTAACAAACGTTCCGCAGTCCAGTGCGCCTGTTTAAAAAGATTCGTTCACTTACAGTAACGATTTCTGCGACTCTTCTTGGGGAAATCCAGGGTTAGGTTTGTTAGGGCCCTCAATCTTGGTTTTCACGTTGCCCTGAAAAGTTGTTGATTCATGTTCGTCCACGTTGATGGGAATATTACCGTTCTTTGAAGATTTGCGTTTCTGTTTCAATTCTCTTTTCCTAACGGCCTGGGAAGTTGATGATTTTTTCACGATCTCATTTGGTACAGCGCTGGTGTACTCTAGCGGGGATCTTTCTTTTTGCACAGGGAAGGCTTCGCATTTGGCGTTTGCGTTCAACTGATTCGACGACGATGCACTGGCGAGGGCGTCCGTTTTCTGTAAAGGAGCACTGGAAATACTATTGGTCGAAGCCTCAGCTTTTTCGAGGGCATATTCAGGAACATCTTTGCCTTCAGGCTTAGCTTCCTCCTGAAATGTTGATGGTCTGTCTAAAACTTCATCGCTGCAAATGTCAGTTTTCACCGATGGAGTTAGAAATTTTGTTGCAGAGGAGTCTTCAGCTTCACTATGTGCGTTAGTTTGAAATGTTGACGGCCCGCGGTCAACTTCAATAGTAGGGTCGTCAGCCTTCTTTGACTTCTTCTTCCTCTTCTTCTGCCTTTTCTTATTATTGGTTTCTTGGAATTGATCTTTTTCCGCGATTCCCAAATTGCCTATATCAGGCAATCCACCCAATTGTTCGGCAGCTGCAGCGTCTTCCATGCTGACTTTTGTGTCCCGTTCGTTGCACAATCTTCGACAACAGAGGTCCACACCTCATCTGCACGACCGAACACAACATGAAAGATTCCAAAGGAAAGTAGAAACGTAATTCTCACTGAAGAATAGTGTTACACGGTAAATATGCTATTATCGATATATTGCACGGGATATAAACGTGCCTCTTCAGGATTATGCGATTATTAATCTTTGATTTTCTAATTTTGAAAACGCCGCAAAGCCACGTCGAAGATAATCAGATGCTTTTTCTAACGAAATTATTCCTTTCTTCAAGGCCAAATTATAGTTTGCGATATCTTGCAGTCTAACCCGTAAAGCAAGAAAATCACGTCTTCTAAAAAGCTCAACTCGTTCAAATAACAATAATTAAACTGAAGACCACAATGGACATCAATGTGCGAAGGAGGTATGATATACGTTAGGAATACATGGATTATCGAACATATTCATCGTAAATCGGACAGTTAGGAAAAGCTCTGCACCATAAAAAAAATATAGTATGTTTAAATGACAATTTTCTTAAGTTATCTGTCCATTTTCTAGGCTTTGGTGCAACGTTTTTTCTATTACAATTGTCATTTTACTTTTACGTTCAAAGTAAAGTGGCATCTAGAATTTTCATCATCATGCTATATTCTGATGGCAAACCGATCAAACCGAGGCAAAGGTTAATGTAAAATGTTAATTTGCTTTTAAAGAGAGGAAATTGTTCAACAAAACAACTGCCATATTTTCTTTCTCTATTAATATGTTACGCAGCTGACACACTTCGAAGTCAAATATGCCTATCATTGTATTGTGTATTGCTATATTGACATTGCAAACCTAAGCCTCTTGATGCTATGAGTAGCTATTCAATATGTGAACAGTCATAAGTAATTCAGTTCTTTACGATCCATCAACTGTAGCTAGAATATAATATATTTACGTATGTATGTTTCTCCCGGTGTCCAATTCAAGCGGTGATTTTTGAACAATTTATAACTAACATTGATTAGTAATTAAAGCACTACGGGTGGCGAAATTCGCGGGGCAAACACGTTTCAATAAAAATAATATAACACAGAAACCCTACTACGGAGCACCTAATCGCGTAACTTGGCACATTCGTACAAAGAGAGCCCGTAGTTGTAACAAATTTTCTTCGAAACAAAAAAAATACAGTATACATGCATCGTTTTTAGAATATCTTCATATCATGACAAAGCAACAAAGTGCATCTTTGATATATCTATGAATGTTTAGCGCCACTAGAGGTATAACACCATTCACAACACGAACCCAAACGCTTTTGCCATCACGTGAACTGTAGACGAAACGTAAGTTTTGCTACTACGCAGTGGGGATAAATCATGATAGATATACAGTTTACTATTCTGCAGAAGATTATACTACTGCGACTAAACAAGAAAACCTAAACCAAACACTTGGTTCACGCAAGCCGGGAGGATATGCTTATCACTGCAATGCCGGGCCGCTTTATGCTCAACAAAGACCGGTATCTGTGCGTGTTCTCACCTAGAGAGTCAATAGCTGCGGGTACAAGTGTTGATGACACTATACACAGTGGTAACAAAAACAGAAAGCACGCAAACGCAACTCCAGGAGAACTTCGAAGGCTTATTCGAGTTTCGCGTACCGCTTCCGTGGAGAAAATTTCTTGGATGAGACAGCCAGCTGACGAAAAACATCTGGATGTATGGATGAATCCAAACGCTTCCGACTTCGAACATACAATACAGAACAGGAGCGGATGGACAAGTGTTGCCAGACCGCACCTAGGCCCTGAAAACGAACGCTACGGGGGGAAAGGGCGAGCGACGCGCGAAGTATAAACAGTATAATTCGCTATTCGCTTCTAGCACAAAAGCGGCTTTAGGCAGTGTGGCAGGCTTAAGAGACTTCTTCAAAGGTGGAAAATTGGTTAGTCTTAACGAGAGGTGGGTGATAGCATTAAACTCAAGTCCATATGAATTAAACACCTTTCATTATCACAAAAAGATCAATGAATGCGGCAGACAGTGAGTGTATGTAGCTGCGTCAGATCGCTTGCAACAGATTGCGATTTCATCAGCTCTCAACAATTGATTGTCGTATGTGATATTTTTCTTTGTTTGTGAATCCCCTTTTTTAAAATGCTTCATTCGAGAGCGAGCATAATGCCAAGCTGAAACTATTAGCGAAATGGCATGTGCAATAGACTTTCTATATGTAACGCTTGCCTAACGCCAAACCGACGTATAATGAAACGACATAGGCATACTTGTTTAGCCTTTTTAGGTTGCGTACATCCGTTGAGCGGTGTCTAGATCAACAAACTTGGTATCTGATTTTTTCTTTCATAGAACTATACGCGTTAGTCCTTTCTACACCGTCATCCGTAACAGGACGCCTGATAAAGCCTTGTTATCTTCTGAACTTCTCTATTAAGTGTATGTTTTTGATAGTTACATCATGGTCCCATGTTCCGCAAAGTGCGCAATGTAGAGCTCGATTTTTAAAAAAACCACTAGATGGTAAATATTGAGTTTTTTCTATTAATCCAAGTAATAAATGTAAGACACGAAGCATATATATAATGTGAATACTAACCATAACACTTTATCTTCAAACGATTACTTAAAATAACTTCCAAACTTAGTTTGATACTGTATCTAAAGCGTCGTGCTAGTATAGTTGATTTTTTCTCAGCAATTTCTTTAATGACCGTTCAGAATTTGTAAGAGATTTATAATGGAAAACTGTTGCTTTGAATGCCGAATTGATTATTAAAATCTAAGAGAGTAAAACGCCGACTTGTCGAAATAAGTGGAAATTGAAATATACCAGTATAAAAACTGAAAACGGTTACGGTATCAAAAAATATTCGTAACATCTTTCTATAGCCACTGCGTATACCTCAGTCGTCCAAATACCAGTTGCATGCTTCGAAGTTATTCCTGTTCAGTGTAACGATGCTACGGTTTCTTGCTTTCTTCACTCAGTGGCACAAGATCGAATTTTATCGAACCTTTGGGTTTTCACATTTTAAAACTAGGCACGTGTAATTGAGAGCTTTGCCGAAATCATTGGAATTGCTAAAATAGGTCGTCACGGAGGCTGAGATTCAATTACTCAAGACAGCGAAACCCGATGAGTGCAATAAAGCATCGCGACCAGGGACGTCTTAACGAAGGAGAAGTAACAACTTAACGGGATGGACGTTTGAGGTTAGATAAGGTTTCGAACTGACCCTGCGTGCCTAAAAATTTACCGATCCATTTGGGTCTATATTGATTATTTCAAAGTCAAGGTTAGTAATTTATTGAACTGGCAGAATACATACAGTACGGTAATGACTGATCGCAATAAGAGGATGGGACAATCAACACAGGAGAAATGAAGAGCCAACCGAAATTCTTAATGGGTAGCGATATGACTGCTGCATGGTAATTCTAATGGAGTTATAGTTTATATTGTGCGACTAATCGCGTCAGTAGGCTATTAAGGTAAGTATACCGATCTAACGCGGCTATTGAAGCATAATGACAGAATCTGCTGAACTACGGAAGTAAGATCATTGCAACGAGATAGCTGCGACAGTATAAGGGAATAATGTGGCAAAATTATACGAGAGCTGTGACTGATAACTGTAAAAGCGTATATAATATAAGGTATCAAATTAAGGTCTATGTTAGGTTAGGTGTAACACGAGTCTAAAAAGTATTCATATTAAAGTAGGCTGATGAAACAACTGTAAAGTGGTGATGCGTTCGGTGGATGGAACGAGATAACTTCTATGCATGCCCGAGCTATCCTAGCCTACGTTAAGATGGAGATAAAATCATTCATAAATTAGATGAGTTCAGTCAATCAGTGACGAATCAAGCTTGGGGCAAAATTGGCGGGCCCATCTAGTTATTCCTAAATCCCGAATGACGTCTGTTTGTCAAACTGTGGACAAACCCGGACAGTAGTTGTGCTTGATCTTAATGCAGCTAGATCATTATGATGCTCTTCTCTGGCTTCTTCCACTGAAGATGAAAAACCACAGCGGTGCAAAAACACAGATGTTTTTGTATGCAGCGCCAATCGTCTTTACATGTTAGGGCTAACATTTTACTAGTTAAATTTCCAATTAATTTCCGATAAGTTTCGATCCCGAGTAACAGTGCCTGAGATTCGCCAATGTATACTAAACTGGATGCTTTTCTCCCGTTCGCTCCAATGACTGTCCAGCTGTGAAAACTTCCATTTGTTTCCCGCACGAACGTAATAACTACTCTGAATGGCTCAGAGTTCTCCGTTCTGGTAGGGAACTCTGAAACATACATCTTGCTATACGCAGGCTGCTTACCAGCCAAATGTTTTTCAACATGAACAATCTAAGCCGCACAAGAAAGGCCTAGTTTTAGGGAATTTAGTCACGCAATATTCGCAAAAGTCTTTCGTTTTCGGCAATAAATAACTTAGTAAAATATATTTCATAAATATATTATATATATTTATGTATATATAGTATATTACAATAGAAATCGAATAGCTTTAGAGGGATGTGTTTGAAGAACTTGTGTTACTTCAAAAGCGAACAGCTGTTTTTTTTTAATTATTTTTTATGAGGTCTTTTTTCTTATATCTTTTTGTCTCCGTAACTGAAATCTAGACGTAATAGACATGTTTCTGCACTACGTTTAAATCTGCACGGCGAGCGGCATTATCTTTGCAGAGTTTACCTCGATTTAGTGGTCTTACCAACGATCGTATCTCTATTCGACCGCAATTATAGCGAATGAGTAGTGTGCTTGCACTGAGATTCAATTGACAATCAAAAAATTTGCTGCAGACAGACAAGATGAACATAGAGACAAGCTATTGGTTGTCAGTCCGTTCGTGTATATTAGTTGATAATTGAATGCGCTTCTACGGCGTTTCAGCTTCTTCGAGCAGGGCTGACTAGTTCAGATAGAATATGGCAATTTGTTGAGTTTCTGAAAAGTGGGCTCCAGTCGAGCCTTGGAAGCAAGCACACTTCGATCGATTGCCCACTCCAGATCCGGCCATTCTTGCCTTTTTCGTTGGTGGTCATATTGGCCATTTTCATAAACTGGTTTCTGATTTAGTTAGCGTAACTCAGATAGTCACTGCAGACGTAGTGGTTATGAAGCTGAAGAGCTCTACTCTTGCCAATTAGAGTACATCCCTTGAACTCTAATGCTTCATCAAATATTATAGTCATGCAATTGCATAGACTCGCGTTCTTCTCCATTTTCAGTTATGAACTTACGACCCTGTCCGAAGTAGATAGAGCAATTTTGTAGTTACATTTCAAGGAGTATTGAGAAAATTGCCGGGCACGTTCAGAAGAAGAACAACCTATGCAGCGGTAACAAATGTTACCAACGTCGAGAGACCGCTGTGTTTTTGAGTTTCGAACAAAGCTGACAAGCAACTACTAAGACTACTCCCGTATATATATATATATAATTACAGTGATCTTTCAGCTGCAGTATTATTCAATGATATATTACTCAGATATTTGATCACATTTTGCACATAGTACACAGTTCAGGTGGATCGAAAAAAAAAAATTAGATGCATTACATGATCAGCAATTTATTCTACATGAAAGAAGAGGCGAATATACCTACAACGATTTGTAGTTGTTCTAACTTTTAGTATATGAAACGTATCCTCAAGGATATCTATTTTCTGAAAACGTATGCCTTTAAATAGACCCGTCAGTCTGATATGTGATTACATCACCACTGAGTCACTTCTAAGAGAATCTAAAATTACGCGCAGCAGTATTTCGAACTCAGCAATTCTAGCCACTTATTCACTTCATGAACAGCAACGAACTATCAAACTTTTTCTGTATCTTCGCCCCTTGCCCTGTCATTCGCCTCCGGTCGTTCCAGATGTATGACCTCTGTGCCTAGTTTCATGGGCAAGCAAGACAGCGAAATCGATGGCAATAACGGGTCAGTCGATTCTAACATCTTTGCAGGTGATCATATTCAATGTGTAGCAGCAGAAGGTTCCAGCCGAATTTCTCTTCCCTTTAGCCTCTACTGGCTTTAGGTCAAACATCGTCAATATGATAGGCGATCAAAACGATTCCGTTGTGAGGAACGACTCGTTCGAACGCTGACTGGCTATCGTTTGTGTGAAGTAGCTAGATCCGTAATTTTATGTGTGTGTCCATTGACCATTGCTTTCCTGTCTAACAAACTTCTGTTATTTTCTCTATGTCGATCATATTACTGTATACTTCGAGTCTCGGTTGTATATATAATGGTGACATTAGTAAACAAACCACGAGTCTGCTCATTCATGCGACTAAGTCAATTTTAGAAACTTGATAATTGAAGATGACCGCAAGGATATCTTCGCTGTCAACAGAGCGACGAATGCTGGACGAAACCTAGACAGATGTAGAAAGCAAATAGGCATTAAAGAAAACATCATAATTCTGAGCAGTCGAAGTTCTCTATCGCTCACAAAACTAAAAAAAAACGTAAACGGAATTTGCTTTCACGAAAATTATATAGTTAACTGGTATGATTGAAGCTCACTAAATCCATACATGTATAATAGGTCTGCTGTACATTGAAGCGGACTATGTGTTCTGTTTTGTTGTCAGCGTGTATTCAAAAAATACGAGCTGAAAAGGTGTCTGTATAGCAAGAACATTTCGATGTTCGATAATGTCACTCAGGTGAGCGCCATGCGACTTCTTTATATGATTAAAGTAAGGCATAGCATCAATCAGTGGATTTCTTACCTAATTACGACGCGTCATAATTGCCGAGATATAGTAATGGAGACTCACACTCGGCACATCAGTTGTAGGAAACCTCATCGAAAGTATCTTGAAGGAAGAGGTTCGTGCCCTTAGGACCCATGAACGGTAGCGCTCGTAGAACGAGTAGCCAGTAGTATTTTTGTGGGCTCACCTATTGTTTTGTTCCTAACGGCGATATCGAAGCTAAAACTCGAAACATAGAAGTTCACCAATTGTCCAAGTTTTCTAGTTTTGGCCAGAGCCCTTATACCAGCCCCGGGCACTATCCGTTGATGACAGTGAGTGCTGCATACCTTTATGCAGCACTAGTGTTTCTACCAGATGCTATGATTGTTCCCCAATAGCGTGTACTTACATGCAAATATGTTCTCAAAGATTCAGCCTACTTGGCGTATGAAGGTTTCGATGAATTAGGTAACTCTACGGTGTATTATTCGCTCTAGGTAATAAAAAGCAATTGCGAAGAACCTACAATCTCCTGGCTTACATCCACTGGAAACCGGCTACGTGCTAGTGCTTGTTAATTGTACCTCGCCAAGGTAAAACGTTTGCCTGTGGCCCATATATGAGAATCATACGCTGAACATGGAAACTTCATACATTAATTGCTGTTATGCAGCTACATAAGATTATTACGAGCAGATGACACGTTAATCGATTACGTACATATACAAGTTTTATTTGAATCCATAAAATTCTATAGTTTCCTTTGGTGTAGAGGGTACAACCGAGAAAGGCTTTTTATGACAATGACCGTTTTAGGCCTTGGCCGATTTCTTCGATTTATATCCATAGAGGCCAGAGTTCAAGCTAACGCCACCGAAATTTCCGCGGTAAGCTCCGTAGCCCGGATCCCCATAAATTAGGAACTCACTACCTGCAAATGCAGTGGGTATATTTTTGCTTATTATAGATGCGTTGAAGCCCATTTCTATCCATGCTGAAATCATTGATCATAGCACTTTGTACATCATGTTCACCTTATTAATTATTTCATGGTAGTTATCATTTCGATTGACTCTCTTGGTGATGCTAGAGTGGTAAAATATTGATACCCAATCTACCTGGTACAGGCGTAGGAGCAAAGGGAATATGCTCTACAGGATCATTCCAAACGGCGTCAGGATTCCGGGATACAACCCCATTGCGGTTAACGAATGGGGTTCTATACACGGCAGGAGCTCCTGATGCAGATGCAACTGGTACCTGTAAAATTATTGTGTTTATAAGCAGCTAGGCTTAGGACTTCTTGCTTGTGAATACCAAAAACTTCAATCTTGCCCCAACGACCCAAAGGTTGTTGTTCCTTGCCCTAACCATTATGATAATATAGTATGTTAACTCTAAGCTATACGTCTGGGCTTTTCGGTTCCGGTTATTTTTTTTTTTAATTAAAAGGAAGTGCAGTTACTATATCTAGCAAAATGTATATTTAGAGCTGATAGTGAAAAACCCAGCACATTCTCAAGTGCATGTGGGTTAATTCAGTGTGACATCCTATGACGCTCATACATTATCTCGAAAAGAGAAGTTGGAAAACTCAAAAGAAAATCTAATCTCCGTGCAATAATCGAAAGAACTACTTGCTAGAATTTCACAACTTAAGTGAATAGTTCCTATTAACCAATGCATGATATAATAGAATAGAAAAAAAAAAGCGTGATACTTTTTATGTACAATATTGAGGTAATATTGGCTTGTCGAAAAAGTATCGACGGCTTTTCTAGCTAGATGGCTTTAAAGGGACGAGTTGCGTCAACTCTGTATTAATGTAATTTAAAAGTTGAAGCTCGGCAGTAGTAAATGTGTTGGAACGCCTCTGTTCAAACTAAGGATAGAGCGTCTTGAAGGCGTGTGAAATTTCTACAAAAAAAAAAAAAAAAAAAAAAAATCGTTATATTCTACAATTTTATCACGATAAAACCGCAAATGCTGTCCAGGCCCATAAAAAGAATTGTGCTGTTTACGGTCAAGATACGTTATCGGAAGAAACGGTCCAAAGATGGTTCTAGTACTTTCATTCTGGAAAAATGCTCCTTATAGTATTGGCCAATTACGGAATAAAACTTATTACGAACGTTGAGCAAGACCACACGTAACTAGCCATTGTATTGCTAAAAAAAACTTAACATTTGCCGCTAAACGGTTTCAACATATTAGCTAGCTATAAAAAGCTCGATACTTTACAAAAGAGCTTACGATTCTACAGAAAACGTAACAAAATCAAGCCATTTTTAAAGCGACTGATCACAGGTGACGACAAGTCACATTGCTATTACACACGACAATGAATACAGTATGAGCGAATGGAAAAAGTGCACTCTACAACCTGTGGTAAAGTTCAGACTATCAACAAAGAAACCAATGCATTATGGACTACCACTGTTCGATAAAACGATTGGTTCGAACCTCTTTTACCAACAACTAGCAAAAATATGACTAGTAATAATAATAACAGTAAAGTTATTTGGAAATTTATCTTGTAAGTTAAAAAAAAAAAATATCTTAATGTTAGCTTAAAACGGTCCGTACTTTGTCGACATGCAAACTTTTATAACAGGTCCCAAAATTATTAAGTTCCATTAGGTTCGACTTGAAGTCTCATTCGCTTTTCGTTGAAAGTGTAAAGCGTACCTATACGGTTAGGTCGTAGCTAATGGATGAATTTTGATTCTCCACTCTCGGATTTGTCTGATCACTGTAGAAAAGCTGACTGGCGAATATCTTACTTGTGCGTGCACGAAGGCTTGGTTGCTGTACGAAGGTGTCTGGATAGAATAATGCACGGGGCTTTGATAGGTAGAGGTGTACGTGCCGATGTGTGCGGCACGTGCACACACAATCACTATGCTAAACGTCGCTAGCACCTTCATCGCACTCTGAAAACAACGCACTGGTTCACAGGTATCTGTAAATAAGTCGGTCCTGAAAGGTCAGCTAACAAGCATTTAGTTAATGGCATTAATTAGAATTTTAAGTTAACACGGGAGCTGGCTTAATAGGATACAGGATTTCGGTGTCAATTTAGCACCTAATTACCTATTCAAGCCATACGTTAATTTGATCAATTAGACCAAAATGGTTTTTGGAAGCTCCAGACCTTCGTAGTAGGTGTCAGTACGATAATATGTGGTTATAATTGGTGGCTATCTGCCTCAAGCGCCATATAACCGATCTATATAGTTACATATGTAAGAGTGAACTGTACGCCATAAAAACTTGGGACCATAAAGGACAATAATTACACGTATCATTAGGACGTTAATGTCCTTTATTTAGCACGTACGTTATTGAAAGTAGTGTTGAGTTAGAAAGAACCCAATTTTGTCATTAGCTCAGTTCTGCGTGGCCCACTGACCATACTCAAGGTAACTGATACACTAGTAAGTCTGATAATAATCGCTGTTTTGACAAAAAAAATCTTCTACTTTCGGACCATTGCCCCACAGGTAGCGTTTGCCTGTATTACTGGCCTGCTTACATTGATAAACCCTGCAATACGCTATGAACGAAGCTGAGACCTTTATTGCTAGGCATTTTTTGTTATGTTGTTATGGGCAGCCAGTAGTTAAGCATGTCGTTAATATGCGCTCTCCCGGTGCTGGTAATAACGACTTTTAAGCAAAACTCGATCGTTCTGTAAGTAAGTTTTTCTTTTCTGTCACTGGTATAATTTACTCAAAATTATTTCTCGCATAAAAAATATCGTGGAAATCTTAAATTGCGTAATTTAAAGTAGCAACTTATTGATAAGAATTTAGTCTGGCATCGTTTTGAGAAAAGCTTTTGATAGAATTAGAACTAGATATCTATATTAGATGTCTGTTTATAGAAAGGGTTATGTGTGCAAAATATCATACGGTGCTTGCCGCTGCTAGAAAAATAGATTGTTAGTTAATATTATGCTTTTTTTATGGGTTACTGTAACTAACTGCGTATTTTTTTCGTATCTATTCTGTATCCTAGAAAGCGGGAATAGGTACCACACAGCGTTCTTCAGAGCACAAGCTGACCGATATATATCATCACCAACATCATTATCGTCGTAATAGGTCCACCGAATGGCAGTTCTAAGTCGTGAAGTGGAAAGAGCCGTAGCGACGTATTCAAATCATATTATCATAGTCAGCACAACGATCGCGCCATTGGTAACTGCACGGGATTGCACTGCGCTAAAAATCGGCACCAGTGCCAGGTACTAAAAAGCCAATGAGAAAATGGGCTGGCCGTACGCCCGCCCGCGTCCCCTTCTTCAGACAACTTGCTCAATGTCAACTGATCACACAAAAAACCGTGAACTAACAAAAAAAAAAAAACCGAGGAAGAAATTGACTCAGTTATTTCTATCTATATTTTTCTGTTCGACCGTTTCTTAACTAACAGTCAGTGGAGTGATAGGCATCTGACGATTTATCCGAAAGTCTACTATTACTATGTTTTCGAGGAAATATACTGAGATGATGAGAGGTTTACATCCGACAGCTCTACAAGCGAGCCCATTGACTCGGCTTGGATCGACAGGACACTGAACGACAGCGACAAAATTGACTATAAGCTAGAATAACATAGAGCAAACATTTATTTTGAACGGGGTTTATTGTGCTGTATTTGGTCGTCTGCTAGTTAATATATGTAGGATGCTATTTTTCAGCCATACGTCAACGCTCGAATTTACGTAATGAACTTGTTCCAGTATCTAACTTCGTATATAATGATGTAATATTACCTTGTGATCCTATAGCTTACCGTAACGGTAACCTTAATGTTGTGGACGGCAAATAGGCCCATGGTCGCATTACGGTGTGAATAACTATTCCACAAATTACAAGCTAATCAAGTTAATTAGTGAAATAAACCCTAAGCGCCATCGATATATATACGTATATATATATATATATATATATATACGGGTATATATATATATATCTCTAGATAGTTGCTCGTTGAAGACGGTAGGCGGGCAACTGGTCATACTTCAAGCAACTAATTGTCGACGCTGGTCGAGACAAAGATCGATGATTCTTTCTGCGTTCATGCCTTGTCAGCTAGTAGAAGTAGCAGAAGTGTATGCGTATGAAAACATTTACACAAAGCTGAAGCATATAGTAGATAAAGCGATAGTCGCATCCATTAATTTAACGCTAGCTCGAGGAAGGCCTTTTAGGCAAAGGCAGTACCGGTAGTCCTTTCCGCTCAAGGCAAATGCCGCTGATGTAAAACGCTTTTTGTTTGCGGATCTGAACCGAAATGCTATGCGATCAGCTGGATAACTGGTACGTGACACAACTCCCGTGTGGCACGTGCCTGTTTTGAGTACTCCCGATGTAAACGCTGTTTTGCTTACACACTATTCGATCGATAGGCACTGACAGGCGCTGTTTGAACGTCCGAGAGCTACCAAGTAGAGCTTTGCTGGAGCATTTTTGTGCAGCGGCAATTCAAAACTGGTAATAAGAAAGGTCTACACTAACAAAAAGTGCCGACAGTTTTTTAAAGCTCGCCACTTTTGGCAGGTAAGTAAGACTGTACACATTCGACTCATATGATACCATTGTTGAAAAAGCCATTTACTTCGTATATTGTTACCACATCCCGATTTCAGTAAGGAAAAAACAAATGTTAAGACAACTAGCTTTAAAAACACGCACTCAAACCGTGCTGTGTGTTACGTTTGTAGGAGGTAAAGTTTCTCTTGCGAAAAACCTGCTAACTTATGAATAACTAGATTGACCAAATTTAGTTCCAAGTATACTCACATAACCCCTGCTCAGAATGGCAGAAACGCTTCCAAAAGGAACTGAATCAACTATTTGCGCCATATAAAATTATTCCCTAGGACCCCACATTGCCGTTGCAGTCGGAGGTTTAGCTCAACAACAATCTCTGACAAGAGCAAGCCTTCAGAATCAGCGTCTACGGAATACTATTTCGAACGCAGATCCGCCGAAAGGGTGTTACATGAACGTACGTAACAATAATCTGTGTGAAGATATCCTCGGACGCTCATTTTAACAGAGCGACGTGAAGTGGGTCAATTGATTGCACTAAATTCACGATGCCCAAACTATTTTCTCGTACCTGTAAATAATCCACAGGGTAAACAGTCTGAATCTCCGTTACTAATAAAATAGGGAACGTTAATTCAGACAGATAAAACGTTCCTGCTTCGTTTTGACCGATCATTCAGGCATGAAACTGGCTGTGGTCTCGAGGCACAATATCCGCAATACGCGATTGTCTGTCTAGTGATTCAAATACTGTTTTCGACGACACAATCAATCTACGATTGTGTCTTTAACAGGCAATTGCAAACGAAGCACACGAAAAGAACAAGCACATTTCAATTGAACTGCACCCTAGACTTTTGTACTCTGCTAGTACACACGTCAATTTTTCACGGTTGAACTAATCGACCGCTTTCGAAAAACGGCTAAGTATAGCATTTAGCAAGCAATGAGCAGAACTATCAACACAACGATTCGAGTCGCTGATATTCGGCCGGTAAGTGCGACAACGCGGACATCAATTCAACGCAGCACAAGTAAGTTCATTATTGTTAATATGAGTTGGCACAGAGATTTACTAAGGCGTAATAACAAGTTACATACCATGAACGACAGGGACAGCGTCCAAAATGTTCTAACCGATCGGTGGCCACCTGCCCCCGTGTGTTCGGGGCCGACCCCCTCCGGTGGTAAGGGTCGCCCCGCCGTACTTTTTTCTATCTCTGGAACGTCTCGTGCTGGCGCCGCTGTGATTTGGTGAGACACTGGAATGATGGTTGAACAAGGCCCGACTGCGGACACCTTCGATAAATACCTATGCACACAATTGCGTACACCTATACAGCTGTACCTGGTTGGTTGTCGGGATTTCTGTATGCCACCGCTAGCAGTCGTGAGTAACATTTAAATTCTATCTGTTGCTTTATCACGCTTGCTGCGGACACAGTTTGTATAATTGACGCTCAGAAAACCTCTTACCTGTCGTTATGTATGGCTATTTTCCTCCTAGTCGAATTAGAAGGAAATGGACCTGGGGCAGTGGCGAATAAAGCACGGTGTTGCTCACCTTCGCTATCGTGACATAAATGGCAAAACATCTAAGAATGAACAATGGATGACTCAATAGAAGACATCTACATTTGCCCTAAGCAATACTTAACAGAAAAATGAGACTTTATATCAATTGAACAATAGCAAAAAAATAGAGTAGCCATAGAAGATGAAACGAGTTGAATGAAGTAAATATCTACAAGGTTCGTCTATTGAAATGGTAGGAAGATCGACATGGCCTCTAAAACATATTCAACACATATATCTAGGCATAAATGTACAAAATCTCAGTTTGCCAGCTGCTATGATCCAAAAGCGGATAACAAGGGCGTATCGTGTAAGCGGCAATTGTATATATGAATTGAAAGATGTAAATCTGAAAGAAAGACAAATCTGAGGGTTTGAAAAGATCTTACAGCAAACATAAACATTGCGAACGTTATATAAAAAAACACTATAACCATTGTCATTTTTCATAAGCCAGAATAGTTGACCTATTAAATAGAAGTTTATAGTAACTTTGTTTCCTCAAAAACATTCATTTGTATAAGTTTTTTTTTGTCGACCTCACACGTTGTATGTAGACGTATAGAAGATATTGGACCATTCCTCCTTAAATTACTTATTCGTAGTTTATAAGCCCAGAGCGAACGGGCTTCTTTATGTAATGTCTTTGTTGCTCTCTAGTCGCGGATAGGCCCAACCGTTTAACCAGCCACGAAGAAAATCTTAACTCCAGCGTAATGAATTTATTAAAAAAAAATGGAAATACTTCAAGCGTCCTCAGTTTGGTTTGAAACTAAGCGGTACCTAAAAAAAAAAAAGTCCGTCCCAAGGTTCTCTCCGGGATCCATTTGCCCCCGTTGTATAGCCTTTCCATTACTTCAGGTATATAATAGCACATATTGTTAAATTTATTCAGTTGTGGCGTGGGGTTTAACAAGCGAGAAAAGGGGGCAATGAATAAGAACGATGTATACAAGTGCTATTATTAATTGTTAATATGTAATAACTAAACGAGGCTATTAACAGAGAAATACTTATTTGATTTGCTGTTTATGATATTATATACAAATAGCTATTATATCCAACTATACCGGTAGGTCCTGCGTTACTATATGACACTACGTTATATAAAAAATGCATACAATATAACTATAATACGTAAGAAACTGAACGTCTCCTTGAACCCACTGAATTTCTCAGCGTCCAATCACAAACTGATTATTGGATTGGATAAAAGCCAACCGTTGTTGTTATTAGGGTTTGACTACGGCTACTAGTACCGTACGCCACACCCAGAAAATAGTCGGCAAATATCTGAAGGCGAAAATTATAGTTGATAATTTATGAACATGGATTCACTGTCCAGGTTGTGCTAACCAGCTTTCGGGTTTGACTGTATTTGAGTTTATCTAACCACGTTACTTGGCATCGAAGTGGGCATTTTTGCCTAAGAAAAGGCTGTAAACCCTAGTCAACGTTCGCTTTATCATAATATGAGCAAAAAACAAAACTGAACCTTATAGAGATCAAATTGCGTATTTTAAAATAGCATATCCCTACAAATAATGCAAAAATGCCATAAGTAATAATAGCACATGAAGCCTGACGTTTTCAAACTTCGATGTAAACCATCAATCTAATGTATCAATGTATCCGTACCTGAACTGAAGTCACACAGGTTTGGAGCGCAGTAGTAACGTATTTGTCTATGAATCGTAGGAACGTATGAGGATGTATTAGATAAAGGATCAAGCGTAAGCACGCTTCGTTTCGTGGTGGGGGGCCAGGCGCAAGGCTTAACATCGGTATCAGATGTGGAACTTACCTTTTAGATTTCAACTTTATAATATTAGTGATGTCTAGAATGTACATGAAGCACGAAGCTTAGCAAAGCATTAAAAATGAAATTCATTTTAATGGAGAAGTTGTACGATCTCATACCCACATACACACATATCTTCCACACCCAATCCATTAGAATGCTAGAGGTTAACTTACGTGAAGGCGTTTCAGATTCGTTTGAACAGATTCTAAACGACTAAATTAAACGACTAATTCTAAATTGAAGACAAGTTTGTTGCAATTTAATCGATAAACTTCAACTCTCCACATGGGTTTTTGGTTATCAAAGCCTTCTGATTGACGCGTTTTTACCCTGTATATTGCAACTAACAAGAAGGTTCATTAAATATTCCGATACATCTTCTAGGTTAACGAAAGTTTCAACTCCGTTTCTTTTACAAGGACTCATCTAGCAGATTGCAAATATAATATGGGGATACAGTATCATATTTGGACTTTATCTTCGCCAATTACAACGCTACTTCGACAACACATCTAAACTCATCATTTTCTAATGTCATGATACGCGCAGCTCTTCAGTGTTACTCTTTCTTTTGCTTCATTCTTGCCATAGATTAGGTCCCGTTTGCTGCTTGCTTGCTTCCTTATCGATGACTGCCTATTCTAACATCTTTTTAAGGTCAAACGACGTGTGCGCTTATTTTGCTTCACAATAAACCCTGACACTCTCGACCAGCACAGAGATTTTTTATTTAATAAGCCGAGGTAGTTTCCAGGCCTTTTCTGAAGTGAACTCTGTTTTAGCAACAGCCTGACGCATGCGTCAGATGCACTCCAGGAAATTATTCATCAACAAATTGGACCGTTACGCGCTGCGAGCGGTCGCGACAAGTAGGACCCAGGTAAACAACTAGAATGGAGCTTTTGATTAATTTTGCACAGACGAAACCAAACAGTCATAACTCGTCTAAATGGCAAAGCGGAACGATGAGTCATAGGAAAACAGAAAGTTTTAAAAGATTCAAATAGCCACTCGTGATGTTGATTTCTTGATGCTTTAGCAGATAAAGGCTTGCACCGAAGCTTCGAAAAACAAAGTTGGCCTCCCATTATGGTACATGTGGATACGATAAGCTGCTTCTGTATATGGAATTGTTTTTCAAAATAAAGCTATTTGATAAGAAGTGATATTAGTTAAGCCCAGATATATACGTCAAATGCGCATGATGTTCCCTTTTCCCCTTTATGTTATAGCATTTCTGTCTACTTGAGGATGATGCTTAGGTATGCTAGAAGCGGCTGAACATCTAAAATCTAATGGTTGTCGTCATGCCTTTCATACATAGTTTACTTTTGCTTGATCCTTCAGTATTAAACTCAGGAACAACAGATACATGACAAAAAAACACTCGACTTGAGGTACGTGTGCATAGACTAAAGTATTACAGTATACAAAGGTACCACAGGGTGCAACTCAATCCTGCATGGCCTTCCGTCATTGGATAGACACGTAGAGAAATTCATTTGTGTGTACCGAAGTGTGTGTATTCGTTAGAGTGTGCATGTATGTTAGTCTACAATAATGACACAATCGTACACGAAGTAAAAGACCGACGACGGCATCGTGTTCATGCTGCTCTCTGAGCATTTTTCCTATCGGCTAATTACAAATTCCTCTTCGGACAACTGCGTTGTAAGATGCATGTCTAACAATATTGACTGCAGCTCATCTGACGGCCATACGAATTAAGTTACTGTTGGAGTTATTGTTGTATTGGTTAGAAATTGACGCATGGAGGAGGTAATGTTTAGGTGAGACCGTTGCCTCAGCCTTTTAGCGAACAAGGTATGGTCAACACCTAGGTGCCGATAGTAGAGGTGCAGGTGAAGATGAAGAACAGAAATACACAGCAGCGTGGATGTTTGCAATGTCGTACGGCCACTCATCCAAATGAAGCAATAACTAAGCACTGTCGCTGTAGAGGACACCGTTTTCTCCTTGTTTTTCGGCCTCGTTGGCCACTGTTGCCTGGCGGAGACTTTGAGGCGACGTACGGCTCGCAACGAGCTACATTTCCACTGTTGTTACTGCTACCGCTATAGAGTCGTGAGTGAAACTCTAAGTAGGAACTCTGTGAGAGGCTCAAAAACGCCGCCGACGGGATAGCCCTTCGAGGAAGTGACCGTAGAGGTGGTAGTAGCGAAGACAGCAGCGGCTGATCATGCTCAACGGCGCCACCGCTCAAGAAGCGAGTACACGCCGGCGCCCGTACCGGCGCTTTGCTGTTTGCCATACCCTAGCGGGGCAGAAACAGCTAGAGCAAACGCGGACAGTAGCAGCGTCAGTAGCAAACAACAGTATGAAGCACGAGCACTAGTGATCGAAAGCTTTTTGTCGTCCCGAAACTGCCGGCGAGTCTCTGCGAGAGCCGGCCGCAGAAACAAACATGCGGACACACGCACATCTTGAACGACAGACAAATGAAGGAAGTCAGTTAGTGTTGCTAATAGAACCGATAAGACCAAGACTCTTTGCGGGCTGTGTACTAAAACGAAGCTAAGCGACACGTAACTATTTACCGCCCTCGTGCGTGCATAAACTACACTATGCCAACAACATGTGATGACGCTAACGGACTCGACAAGTACGAAAAAATGGGATTTGAAATAATTATGCTGAGGATTCCCTTCTTCATATGACCGTAACTACGTGTTCTTGTTATTCGTTCGGCTAAATCGTCCCAACTGATCCAAAGGAAGGGATCCAACGTTTGCGCTAATAGAATCATAGACAAACTTTTAGCTTGCCGTTTTACTCGTCGATCGATCGATGATAGCTCAGTGACACGAAACAATAAAGAACGCTTGTGTTGCAGCCATTTGTTATCGCGGAGTCAATGTCACATTATGAATACTATTACCATCATTGATTAAAGCAATGTATTTCTCTTCCGAATCCGGTAAGAATCAACATGTATAGTTACGGATTTGTAGCAGATTTCAACACGCATGTTTAAACCACGATGTATTTATTGTGCATGTTTATTCCAAATCAGTTTTTCCCATTAACGAATATTAAGTAGGGATCTACTGCATATTTACAATAGCTATCACTGGTTAAACGGTTCACGGCTGTATCAAGATAACTAAACTTGATTCAAATGAGATTTACAAATGTCCAAGCGCCGCTAACTACGCCTCAGCTATTTCCGCTTATAAATCTCGTCCCGTTATCAGCACTGCTGCTAAGGTCTCATCAACTAGGGCTGACTATTATCAGAGATTAGGCTCTGTCCAGTACTGTGATAGACTGAAATGAATAATACATCAATGTAACCTGCTTTGATGACGGCTTGCTTGACTTGACTGATTGCATAGTACGAGGTAGGGTTTAGTTAGAATTTTATTTTATGAAATGCAAAATCGCGTACCAGTAGTATTCGTCTGAGCGGTTGACGCTCGTCCAGGCCCCAAACAGCTAGGCTATCGAAAAGTCGATAAATGAAGTTTGAAAAATGCAATATGTTCTTCGCAACTTATAGATGGTATTTCTGACCGCAAACAAATTACTTCAATGTTCTAATGAGGGCAGGGAAAATTGGGCGTTTACTCTGGTTAGCCAGCCAGTGCGGACCTTATACTTCATAGACTTATACTTTTCGTAAAAAATGGCGCCCTTGTGTCGTAGCCACCCTGCAAAAACTTTAATCGTTAAGGACGCATTCTTGTTTTTCTTTTTTGCTATTCTCTCCCTGAAATCTCAGAACAAAGCTGACCCTGTCCTTTGAAACCAACAAAAGAAATCTCCCTAGCATGTTGCTGAATTCGTAATAAGGCGGCCTTATATCTCAGGTAAACAGACTTCGCTTCCATTGAGCCTGCACCTAAAACGAGTCCCCTTAGGCCAAATCTGTCGTAAAGTACCATAGAGCTTTATGGAAAAGCGAATTAGCCCATTATTATTTTTAGCTAGAAATTTCCTTTAGCTAAGCAGCGGGATACGAACGAAACTATAGTTTTATTGAGATATAACACTTTACAAGCTCCGCCATATATTATATCGAGGTTAAAATAACACATTTTTTCAGCGAAAACTAAATAAGATAAATATATATATGTAAAAATATGAACCTAAAGGAAAGAATTTAACAAATTTCAAATCTGTGGCTGTCTACGTGCAGCATTGCGTCAGACTGTTGATCTGAAGGAAGGGCAAAACGTATTTACAACTAGTCTCAGGCTTAAATGATTTCAAGTGAGTGCACGTTTCGAAGCTGAACACGCTACTATTGCTTCATCATGGTTGACTAACTGACACTGCCATTTCGATTCTTCAGCTAGCGATCATTGATTCTGGAAGCGTTCAGTCGCATAGAATATCGCTCAGAAGTTAACGAAAGTGCGTCGAAGGGCTCCTTCGGCGAGCTAAAATCTACAGGACATCGCATTCTCAAAGCTCTGCTAGCGTTGAAAATTGGCTCCGAGGCGTTTCAATGAATGTCCGAATGTGTCGTCTAAGGCATGAGAATATACTTCAGTTGTCGCATATCACATTCAGCTCCGAAGAAAACAGAAGTGTTTTCATTTGAAAAACAATTCTTCATTTTAATTTTATCATTTGTAACTAATTTTAGTACATATAGCCATAAAAAAGCTGCTGCTATTTTTAACAGTCGATCTCTGTGGCGCCATGTCGACGGATGACATGTCGAGACCTGCAGTGTGTAGCTTCAATTTCATGGCGCCCCCATAAGACCCCCGCATCGTCAGTGTAAACCTTAGAGAGGCATATAGATATATATATGACAGCCGCTTGTGAACGCGTTTTTTGTCGTTCAGTCGGACCCTTCGGTACGCCTTGCAACGCGTAACTCCTTCTGACAGGAAAAACACACATTACAGGCTTGCATTGGTTGGCTAGATTGGTTTCTCTGTAGAGTTGATGATGACAAAGATTCGGTGGGTCGATAATATAAACGCGTATGCCAACTGTACGTAGACCTGAAAAAGACTTAGAGGACGCAAAGTTTTTCATTGTCGAATACTTGTGTTTTTGTTTGGCATACGTATTCGATGTGTTAGTTTTTCGGTGGCGAGACGCCTACAGAATATGCCAAAATTTTCGTTCGTGCGCTTCAAAAGCGATGATTGTATACGTACTGCAAATTCAAAGGTAAAAAACATAAATAATGTGTCAAAAATTGCAGACCTGCATCTTCTATAAGCCCATTTCGAAGCAAGAGCTTACTACTCGGCCAGAGTATACAGATCTATTCGCAAGGCTCAATTTTCCATAAACATGTATCACTTACTAATTATTATCTGATCTCAACGACGACGACTGTCTGAAGGCCATTTTAGGCTAGCTCTGAACACAGAATTGCTAAGAACCATCGTTACTACAACAAGCACAGAGCATCGCTATAAACCATTGCCATGGGCCTACCAGGCTAAAGAATAGATTTTTTTTTCTTTCATCATTTACAACGCTTACTCGCGCAGTCTTTTCATTTGGGATAATAATAAACACTAGCTTTGTCATTGTGTGGGTTACTTTTTAACTCTCAAAGCCAATTAGAGACCGTTATATATTTGGGTTTTAGCAATTCGGCCTGATCGTTTGAGGGACATCCGAGGGTGTGCAGATGTGCCGTGCCCTGCAAATGGCTACATTTTTTTGTATATGACATCAGATAATTATAACCTGTGTGAATAAATGAGGTTATTTAAAATAGTATTAATTTTCTCAACAACGCTTGGCTAATACGAATATATCGATGGTTATTTCAGCTAAAAATGATTTCGAGTCGGTAGAGCCACACGTATTAAACCAGCCTAGCAAACTACTGCATTTTGGCATTTATGTTTTGGTATATACAAATCGATCTACGGATCAAACCTGCCGGTTCGTTTCGAGTCGCGTACACTCGCATCCTATTACGTCCTAACTTCCATGATAAAAACAACAAGAATTGCTATGATTTTCTTTCCTACGCAGTTAATATTCTTCATTTCGGGTACACTGGTTATTTTTCTAATGTGACGTTCGTGTTTATATTTTTCCTCAAACTTGTCCTTACCATTTTTGTATTCAAACCCTTTAAATACTTTATTTAAAATAATGTATCTCACTTAATTTTTTACGATGAAACGATAATTTCTCGATCGATTTTTCTGTTTCGTATTTTCCCACGTATACCGAAAACAAGAATCATTTTTACTTGTTTCACTCTAAATTAAAATACACTTATTTGGATTCAGGTGTAGGAGGATGGCTGTATTAGGCGTTTTTACGCGGTAAGGGATTAAGCCTGTGGTGGAATAAGCTTTGTTTACATAGTGATCAGGACTATAATACAAAAACAAAAAAAGAATCGCTTTTGGATTATCTCTGCAATTACGTTTATCAGCGACTCTGTATTCTGCTAAATTGATACAAACAATTCGTTAGCTTTTACTTGAGATAAAATAAATGTCAACGAAAATCAATAACAAAGTTAACAAAATTTGAATAAAATCGTGGATTTTTTTTGCTCGTTGCAGGTTTTATTCTCGTAATTTTGTTAAACCGTTCGTTTTCCATTACTCATGAATTTACCCGTGGTAAATTGCGACGAAAGCTATTGGTTTTTGATACCTTGACCCACAGTTGGCCGAATCCGTGTGACTGTCTAATTAATTCTAGATATCATAGATAGATACAGAAAGCCAACAAAGCAGACCCCTTTCAAGCTATTCTTAGAATCTGATGTTTTTAAGTGATTAAACATGGCTTGCAAAAAAGATCTGTGTAACAAACGTTACTTTTAATTACTCTGTATTCACGTGATCCATATATATATAGACTGTTCAAGGGTCATCCCGAACGTCATACAAGTATAGCTTAGTTGAAAGCTAACAGCGATTAGCGAAGGGTTACAATATGGTTGTTCCGCCTACTGCTTAATACGCGAAGCCACAAAAATGCCGTGTCCGTTTAATTGAAATATAACGATAAATAAACACAAACAATCATTTCTACAAAACGTTGCGCCATGCTACCACGTAAACTAGTCCAGGTAAGAGCTAAAGAAACTTAACGATCATAACTTCGTTTTGAAAAAATTGTTGCTATACCAATGGTTGTCTTATTAAAATGCGACCGACCGATTCGAACTGGGGAAGCAATTTTTTTTTTGTGATTATTTTCAAATTAAACTTCATAATGTTTCAGCCAGCGATAAATATTGTAACGTATACATATATATATATATATATATATATACACACATATATGTAATCTGCAAGCTCAGCTCTTTTAGAGTACGCAGTGATGAATATTTTGTTCGCTCAATACTAAAGCGTCACCTTGGAACAATTGTTGCCACTGAAGCTCTTTTTTCAATCAATGCAAACTGAAAGAATGTTTTTTACGTATTTGACGCTCTTTCAATCAGAACAAAATGATTTTGTGCTTTTCCCGTATTAAGCAATTTTAAAAATGCCGGCCAGAGCAACAGACTGTATTCTAATTGTTGCATTGTAAAGGGATCGGATCAACGACGACAAGAACGACAATGTATGCCTAATATAGAACGTAAGTGACAGCGTTTGAATATTTGTCGTTTTTTTTTCCAATTTGGTAAGATTAATTGCTATGATCAGACCCATAACCCAGAAGCATTTAAGGCCATTTTTTTAGCATTTATCAATTCAATTTTTTAGCATCAATCAATCAACGTCTGCGTGTTCTTGATACCTTTAGATGTTCTGGAAGAATTTTCTTAGATAAGCTAACTGTAGATCACGTTTGTACATGTCAGAATCGGCTAACAATGTATTCATAGATCAAAAGAATAACATCTCCTCCAGTATAACAGCAAACATTCTTATTGCCCTTTTATTTATTGCTAAGTTCACTAACTTAATGGTAGACGTATTTGTATCTACTTGGCGAGGAAGGTTTACTGGGCATAAGTAGCCTGAGTCATCGTGTATCAGAAAAGCAGCAAGATTCAAAGCGAAAAAAAAATAAAAGCCATAATTTTAGATTTAACAGCCATAATTTAACTACAACAATGACTATCGACGAAACATTTATTATCGACAGCCTATGAAATTCCGGAAGCACTGAAAAATAACTTTATCATAGATATTTTCCTAAGATTACCGTTTCGATTAGTGAAATTTAATAAATGACTCACGTGTTACATTACCATTAATTGGATTGCAGCTACGAATCGATGGGTGTTTTTTCTTGCGATCTTTTACATCGCACGCGTAAGTTCAACCTTAAACGAAATCGTCGAGTATCCCCTGTCCACGATCGATGCCACAATCGATATTAAGAAGCTTGAACAGCAAAGCGAGCGACTGAAGAGCTCATTGGGTGCGTTGCATAATAACTACGAGCATGGTATAGATATTGCGTTCCTGGTTGATTCTTCACTGTCGGTTGGTCTTGCAAACTTCAAGTTGGAACTTCGTTTTGTCAAGAAGATTCTAGCGGATTTCAGTATAAGCCATCTACGCAAAAATACGACGCGAGTCACCCTTGTAACGTTCAGTTCACCCGATAAAGTTGTAACTCATGTGGACTTTATTTCACCGAATGGAAGTTCGCAGATTCTCAATCGACATAAGTGTTCTCTGATGGCGGAGCTTGCCCAAATCCAATATGTCGGTGGCCTCACTTATACTCTCGGGGCTATGAAAATCGCCGATAGGGTTTTGGGTGCGAGCAACAGATCCGTGCCTCAGGTTGTGTTTCTCGTCACTGATGGATTCTCCAATGGTGGTGATCCAAAGCCAATAGCACGAAAGCTTAAATCACGTGGCGTAACAATTTTCACGTTTGGCATCAAGAACGGAAATGTCAAAGAACTTCAGGTAAGCGGGCGCTTTAATTTGTGAGCCTATTTATGCATTATTCAATATTAAATGTAGCTATAAAGAAGAAAAAAAAAAAAAAAAAACTGGAGCCACGTTTTTAAAAGGACTATTTTTTGCGCTTTTCATTTACGCGTAAGTCAGTTATCAGTCCATAGAGCGTCCAATTGAACATTTATGGACAAAATGTCAGGTGAAGGACGGGTATTATAAGAAGAGAAGGAAAAGTTAGCAAAAAGGCAATAAAGAATTCCTGTGCTATTTATTATTTATCCGCTTTCTATTTGTTTGGTCTCTTATCAGAAGGCTATGTATTTACAGTCATATCATTTTTACTAAGCACATTTTCAAAAATAATCACGTATATCATTTTTACTAAGCACATTTTCAAAAATAATCACGTCAGCGCCGCTTGAGTATGATCTACTATCAGATAATTACTGCTTTTGCTTTTCCAACTACTTTTTTTTTGTAGAGTGCGTTATGCCTGGGCATTTAGGTCGCATCTTTTTATTGTTGCACGGTAACCATCACTAAGTAGCACGTTGTCGCGCTGGTTCGAATTTTAGCGCCAACAAATATTATTATTAAGGTTAATAACTACCTGTATGGTTGCCATGCCGTATCGTTGGTCTGTTGTAAGCAGCCCAGATAAGTCTGATAAAGCCTGATTGGACTTTTTGATGCTGTACTTAAAAAGAGGTAATTCCAATAGCTTGTTCATATAAAGAAAGTAGCTGAGTGTTAAACAAATACGAAGTTTGAAAAAAAAAAAAAGAAGAAAAACCTACTTTTGTGTCACGACAAAAGCCCGTACAACGAAAAAACAGGTAGAAGTCCTTTCGGGAGCACAGGTGTTAGACAGTTCGTTTTTTTGCTTGATACATAGACTTGATGAGTAATGCCGTCTGGTAGCCTGGCTATACGCTAGCCTGCATCGAATGATAGCCAGTTCCACTGCGATGCGAATTAAAATGATGGGGGCCTACTCTGGCATTAGTGGTCGGAAGTCTAGCCTAAGCTAGGCGGGACGCTTCAACAAACGATTTCATTGTCACCGGCTGCCAGTAAATACTGCCTGTGCCTAATAGAAAATCCGGGTCTCTGGATGTATCTTGCGTCCTGCTCAGGCAAGACTACTGCCAAGTAGCGCATGCATGCGAAACTTCGACGTGCTGTACAAAGGGAGTTCGATAAAAATTCGATTGTGTTGGTAAGATCTACCTCTAAAATGATTCGAAATCTTGGGCTCAGACCGTAAAGTATTGAGTACGAACTACAAAAGATTCAAAATTGCAGGATATGGCAACGACCCGAAAGGAACATTGTTTTATTGTAAACTCTTTTGAAGAGTTTGAAGCTCTGGCTCGACGTGCCCTACACCAAGATCTCTCAGTGGGCGATTTCGAGCCATTGGACTTATCTCAATGCAATGGATTGTGCCCAGCCGGACAGCTGTGCTGCCAATCGGGGGCTCGTTGTGCTTGTGGTACTACCTCTGGCTACTTTAGCTGTCTTTGCCCACGCGGTCAATATGGAACGGGCCTCAAGGGCGAATGTAAACGTGAGTTGAGTAACTTTTACGTTTCGTACAACTTGAACAAGAGCAGTTTAAATACGTGTTTCTAGCTACGCATTTGAATCCAGGTTCAATTTAAAGCCGCAAGTCGCGTAAATGTTTTCAATCGACATCACAATACATTAATTTATCTCCCATTGCGATTGTGGACACATATAGCATGCCCGAAAGGAACATATCAGCCCAGATTTGTGCACGGCGGCATCGAAGAATGCTTGCCCTGTCCAGGTTCACATCAAACTTCTCCATCTGGCAGCCATTCCAAACAACAATGTAGCTGCAAGAGCGGCTTCACCACGTTGATCACAGGAAATAGCAGCGTCTGCATGCGTGAGTACAACATCGAATGCTATCACTTGCCATAAATTTTTCTTTATTAGGATAATATATATATATATATATATATATATATATATATATATATATATATATATATATATATAGGAGAAAACTGAATAGGACAATAAAAAGAAAATCATTTGTTCTAATTTCGATAGTTAGATTGATTGTTATGTTTTAAAGTATGAGTAGCTGGGGTACCTAAAACATGTTGTTCGCATTTATCCAACGTTGAACTATCTAGAAATGGATGCAATTATCTAGTTTCGTACCACAGTGTCGCACGTCTAAGGGTCCCTTTCCGACAAATACGTAGTGTGTTTCAAGGTACATCTCCACCTATGTGCATGTTTTTAATATGTGTAATGTCGCGTATTTCAGAACACAATACGTTACCTTTATATACAGATATACTTCACGAAGTCCAGGCTTCGATCCGCACCAGTTTTGTTTTTATTTTAACTGATTTATTAATCACACACTCAGTCTGACATGAATTATTAACCCGTTATTTTTTTTTGTAATTATTTCGTCAATCTGTTCTAATACGTTTTCCAGGGAGCTTGGCCAATTCCAGATTTGTTTCTCTTGTAATATGACGGCTTTGAGAAGATTTTTAAAAACCGGCAGACTTCTCACGAACATACGGGAATTGTTTTTAATAGGTGCTGTCATTGAGAGAATTGGCTAACCTATTGATTCTGCTCTTAGGATGTCATCGAAGGATACGAGTTGAAATTGTTTCTTAAGTAAATATATTAAATTATGATTGAGTCTGTACGATGGGACAAATCACCAAGGTTTTTTTAGTTCTCTCCCCTTTTTTGGGTAAGTAATTACATACTCTACTAAAGGAAAATCTAATAAATATTTCATAGTGATTTTATAAATTGCAGCTGCTGTATTCTGTTCTTGGCAGTGCGCCAAAACGTAAAGGTTTTTCCTTTTCAACTCTCCTTCATTAATAAATGGCTATATGCAGATGCTATATTAAATCGGGACACAAACGTTTAATATTTCCTAATTGCCATATTTTTTTTTTAATATTTTGTTAGTTTTTACCAAAGTGGGTAGTCGTACCTCGTCTTTGATATTTTGGCCTTTTTCTGGAAATGAACGCAGATATTTTTTCACGGAAATCAATTTTACATTAGCGACGCTAACTTTCCAATTGTCATTTACTAGAAATTTGCCGAAATAACCACTTGAAATGTACGTGGTTTCACTCCATTGTTGCATGGGTAAAATGGTACCACCAACAGGATTTTTACAATTTTGACTCAAAGATCTCTACGTTAGATATAGGTCTACGTGTTGCCCTCTTGTTTAGCTTGTCGAGGTCTATCGGCTGAAAAAACACTCTTACCTAAAACACCATGTTAGATGTTCACCTTTTAAACCGCGTTCTCCGCCCGATTACTGATATTTAGGTAAAAATAATTATAGCTTTTGACTGGTACCAAGAAATACTTCCCCTACATTTGCTTCGATGTCAAAAATGTTTATCCCAAAATCATCTTAACGAAAATGCCGTTCGGGGGTATTTTGAACCCAAAAGCTGAGATATCGAGGCATGCTTTGCATTTTGGTTCAGCTTTTGATCAATGTCGAAGACGACCATGTAAACACTGGGCTGTCATTTCGCGAAAAAAAATTTTCGACAAATTTTAACAACATTTCTGCCAAAAGATAACCTATTTCAGTTCCCTCAGCTCTCTCCTAAATATGCACGAGGAATTCTTGCAAAATAAACATTATAAGAAAACGAGTTTTTTTCTGTATAACTTAATTGCCCCGGTTACGCTTTGTGAGATGAGAAGACAAGCTACCCCGGGGAAAATAGTACTCGCCCGATCGGCTTCATCTTACGCACAACTATACTCTAGATGATACTCCGGCAATGCACCGAAAATCGCTGTGTCGGTCAATTTGGACTGGATAACCAACTAAAGACAATGATTTTAGTAGTACGTAGATGAATATACATTTCGGGTATGGTAAAAAAAAAATTGGGTAATGCACTCATTTGTTGCGTCCTATTTGTATGGTTATCTTTGAAAGAACTGATGGTAACCATATTGCTGACTGCTTCGGTATTCTGGGGAGGACTTCATTTTATACAAATAAAGTTGAAATACAAAGACCAACTCGTTTGATGAAATACTTAGATAGGCTGATACTCGTAATCATACACAATGAGCAATTATCAATCGTCAAATAAAAAGTTCACATGTCGAGGACCCTCAAATGAAGCTTAATGTGTGGCGAATTGCTATGATTTTAACACTTCTCTTTGTTATTGATTTACTAATTTTCCTCATAGTCATTGTAACATTTTCATCACACGTAACACCAAGCGAAAGTCTTGTATTGTACATGTAGATAGAATTCTGATTCTGCATTGATACTGTACATAGTTGTGCCAGTGCCTCTTGACATTTACCAGTATGGTCACATGTATAAATTAGCCCCTTTTATCATTATTGTGATCTATCTGTTCTGTCAGCGGTTCGTTGCCCTGCTCTGGTAGCCCCATTAAATGGCTTCCTAGTGAACGAGAAATGTGAGAGTGTATTTAACGCCGCGTGCGGAGTAGCTTGTGAGACAGGCTATAAGCTATCTGGTCCAAGCATTCTGGTTTGCAATCAAGACGGCCGCTGGAGCGGCGAGATGCCCAAATGTCATAGTATGTATATTAATACCACCACAATTATAGAAAGTTTGAATTTATCGCACGACAGAAAATGGAATATAATGTAAGTAAATGACATAGTTAAAGATGAAAGTATGCCTACAATATAAGTTGAACGTTGTCCATATCTTCCTCAACACACCCTTCGTTAGCATCTATCGTATAAATCGCATAGAACACAGATCTCATAGATTCCTATTACTGGTTCAGACTTAAAAAGTTTTAATTGTTCACTGAATATATCTATTTTTTATTACTTGAATTTGCTTATGTCGAACTAAACATCTCCCTTACATAAGAACAAACGCATATCTAAAGTGCTAGCCTCCATTTAGAAGAACTGCCCTATGAACAACGTGTAGAAACTCATCGTTTATTTGTAGCAGTTTGAAAATTCTAATTGAATTTATCGAACGTAGGAAGCTAGGATATCTGCTACGAATAAATACCCTTAGGTTTGGAGTTAGAAGTGTATTGGTTCCCGTTGTTGTTCCTGCCGGCGTAGAGCGCAAGTGTCAGGAGCTGACTGCACCCAACTCTGGCTGGATGAAGTGTACGACGAGGTCGTACCAATTCGAAACGGAATGTGAGTTTGGCTGTAGTGAGGGATTCGTTCTTGTTGGATCGAAACGGAGAAACTGTTTGGCAGTAGCGCACTGGGATGGGCTTCCGGCAACCTGTCGACGTAAGATTCGTTGAGCCTTTATCATTTTTTTACTACTAGGGAACTCAACTAGTCAGAAAAATATCGTTCATTAATTGAAGTACCCCGATAGTTAAGTTGATAAATGCAGTCACGTATTTCGATCATCATCCACTGACATCTACCAAGCGCACTAGAACTATATGTAGATATAAAAAATGTTTGGTATCATATTAGAGTTAGCGTTAAGTAAAAAGAAAACACTTATCTTTTAGTAGTTAACATCTGTTCGTTTTTAGAGATCTACTGTCCTGCTCTCGACATCCCTGCAAACGGAAGAATTTTTCCACTGTCATGCAATGCGAGCAGGACTACCTTTGGGGATCAGTGTCGTTACCGATGTCAGGAAGGTTATCGACTTACAGGGCCTTCATCAAGAGAATGTATCTATCCTGGTGTATGGACCGATCATCAATTGGTCACTCGTTGCGTCGGTACGTGTTATGTTGCTTACGAGTTGCTTAATTTGATACTTTTATTCAACGATATAAAAATAACAGGGCCAATCATTATTTTATCAACTTATTACTTAATAGTCCTTGTAATGTAGGTGACTGACAAGGTGAACTGGTTGTGTCACAAACAGATACTAAACCGCCTTCAATTGAATGTCCCGATAATATCCTCGTACCGGCGGACCCGGGGGAGCCGTACGCGACAGTCGACTTCAGTTTGCCATCGATACAAGATAACAGTGGATTCCAAGAGATCACATTGACGGTTTCTCCAGCCGTGGAGCCACCATTGCCATTTTTCATTGGGGATCCCATGAACATCACCTACACTGCTACAGACTCGCAAGAAAATAAAAATTCGTGCACATTTTCCGTTACCGTCATAGGTAAAAATCAGTTCGTTGTAAAAAGAATCCCCCATAAGGTGTGCGTGACTCGTTCCCTTCATCTTGAAATGCCCTCACACACAAATATATAGAAACTCGACATCTCGAACAACTTCAAAAAAAACAACTCAAAAGAAACAACCATTGCGAGGTATAGAGCTGGAGATATAGAATTAGCTTAGAATAAGAAACTGAACTGCCTATAGAAGAACACCAGTCAGAGAAGCGGCCTGGAGTCCATAACCGCGGAGCTTTTTCTTGTATTTTCCTCGGCTAAGCGGAGCGTATGCTTCTACCTGGTCAGCATTCTACCTGCCGAATAGCTTGAACACAGATTAAAAAAAAAGCCGCGCTATTTTAATTTTGTAGTAGTAAGATGTATATATATACGCATGCAACTTGAAACTTACAGACGAGGAGCCCCCGACTGTTGATCGTTGCGAGTCTCCAGCCGTGACGCTTTCATCAGATGGACAGGGCGCCAAGGTCGTCTGGGAAGAGCCGCTATTTTCTGACAATTCGAATGAAGATGTGTTCATCTGGAGTTCACATAAGCCTGGACAATATTTTCCGATTAACGATACCGTCGTCACATACAATGCCGCCGACAATTCTGGCAATAATGCTTCCTGCACGTTTAACATCACTGTTAAGGGTAGGTAATTACTGATCATTAGTAATCACACTAAATCGAAACTATCCGTTGAATATACGATTTTATAATTTCGAGCCATAGTGTACAGTAACTATAGTTGTTAATATCAAATTTAACTCATACGTATCCCTCGAGATAGTCGATCTCTAATTGTTAGAATTGTTAAGCATAGCTGATATTTAATTCAGATGTTATTGTCAATCAATATTTATATATATGCAGCTAAACTTTTTCAGTACCCTAAGCCCTTCGTGACTAAAGGAATGGTATGTTAATAATTATGAAAAAAAAAATATTTCAACGTCAATTTCGTATCAAAATATTTACAATGTATTTTGCAGATTTTTTGCAAAAAGTAAGCGCCAAGAAATACGTAGTGAATGTTCTATGTTTAAACATCGTTTTTATTAAAACTTCTGCTCCTTTAACAATAATGTTTACTACAAATCGTCGTATGTAATTTTTAAGGATGGTATTATTTTAGTCCTATAAATAATAAATAAGGCTCAATAAAAAAAAATATCGGCAAGTACTGTGTGATAAAAAAAATCCGACAGGTCCGAAAAGATACCCTAACATTAATCCAGTGTCCAAACATTGTAGTTATTACAATTTCTATTTTTTTTTTTACTTTAATAATTAATACACATTGATTACCATGCACATCAACAATTTTTCAATATAGCATTCCTAAACCTTCTAAACACTTGAAAAGATCAATAAACTTAATTTAACCTACAAATGATCTGCAAAAGCCTTTCCTCTTTCCGCCTTTTCTTAAAAAATCCGACATTTCGCGATTAATTGAAACTTATGGCGTCGCATTGTTCTCGCACTGATTGGCAACGTGCTGTCACGAACAAACCTGCTATTTCACTACCGTTTACCTTCAATATTACTCATGTGATGTTAGGAGGAAAATGCATTTTTAGACATCTTTTTCATACGGGTGATGATTGGCGGTTAGATCTCTATGGCTTCGATTTTAATATGTGACTATTACAGCGACCAAGTGCGAGCCTTCCTTCAGCGTGCTCAACGGGAAGCTCAACTGTACCGTGGACGCGCTTCAAACACTTTGCCATATCCAATGCGATCGAGGATTTACGCTCCTGCCGAATCTGCCCAATTACCTACGATGCATCGATGGCGTCTGGAATATAAGTGATATCGATTTGCCCTCTTGTACCAGTAAGTAGAAACCAGTCATTGTCACCGACGAAGCTTCATGCAAGTAGGTAAGCGTAGAAGGGAAAGTGAGAATATTACCGAATAAAAACAGTTGTACAAATAGCAGGTGGATAGATAATGTAAAAACTATTTTTTTTTTGTATTATCTGGTGATTATTAGCCGATTAGTGTCCGAAGGGTCTCAACTTTCGATCTCTGTTGATTTATATTTTAGCTGTGGTTACTTCAAGTAGTGGCAGTAGTTCGAAGTTAACATCGTCGAGCGCATCGACACCAGTCGTATTGCCAAGCGGAACAATGTTCGAATGCACTAACGAGTTCCTGTCCCAGCAGCTATCGGTGGTTCTCAAGAAGCGTATTTCTATGAAGAACGTAATCAAGTGTAGAGCCAAACCAAAATGTTATAAGGAAAAGCTGAAACCCATTTGTGAAGTAACCCAACGAAATAGTGAGCGTCGAGTAAACATCTCAGTATCAGCACAAACACGCATGCAGCAAAAGTTAGACATCCTTCTAACCTTATTCACGATCAGGACATACGATAACCTCAAATAACCGTGACAGGTCGAGCCCATCTAGTTAATCCAGGGAGGTAAACGATTTAACAAGCAAGTAAATTAACCCCATTACGTCCGTTTGACTGCCTGCCATATATAAGGTATGGTCGACAAGCTCTATCTGAGTGCTGTAATGGAAATAAGTACACGCCTTAAGGCAGACCGACAGATCCCATTGTGCCCATCGTGACGGTCTGCGTGCATGTTGTTGTAAACATCTGTCATATGTAAGTGTCATTTCTGCATCACGGGAAGTAGTAATGCTCCCCATAACTAGGAGGAACTACAAATCAGGCAGTAAAGGACGTAGAAAGCAATAAAGTGTGTAACATTACAGTGCTACCCATCTCAAGCCATGCTGCGCGAAAACGTCGTAGTGTTTCTGATGCCAGAGCCAGCAAATCCGATAAAGACAGCGACACTGATCTCAATCTCGAGGATGAAGATATGATACTGCACTCCATGGACGACATGATGTCGTCTGTCAGAGATGGTCTGAACCAAAGGAATCAGTCCTATCACTCCCTGTGTCCATTGGGCTGGGTTCATATCGACGAAAGAACGTGCGGTTAGTCAATTCATATCGGCTTATTGTTGATTAAATATACAAAAAACAAATACAATAAATCGCGTTCAGATTCATACATGAAATGCGTCCCACAACCAATGTCATAATTTTGTGTTTCATTAAAAATTAATAATTAGATGCATTTTCTGTGCGAAGAATTTTATTATCCAATAGCTGAAGCCATTTAAAAATTTCTGTTCCAAATTTTTTGATGGTGGACAAGACGGGCACGGCATTTACGCATGAAGCTTTATTGGAGCCGAGACCAAATATGGCCCACACAGTTGATTAAAAAGTACTTGATTAGGGAAAGACTCCAGTTACCCGAAAGTTAGTTTTAACTAAATGTTTATGCGGAGCCAGCTTCTTAAATTTATATAAACGTACGCTTAAGAAAATCCCAGTTGATCCATAGGTTAACAAAATGTCTTTGTAGAGTTGTTTTGTGAAATATTTAGCCTTTCCAAAAGAAATCGATTGGCGTGTGAGCTAGTTAATTTTTTTTTTGTTAGAAGTAGAATATTCGCTTCTGTTAACAATTCCAACATCAGCTCTTCGACTTATTGCTTATTCCCGTCATTTCCATTTGTATCAGCTGTCAACATTTTCTAATTAAAGATATATATATGATGCTTCAGACAGCAAAACCTTGCTGATTCCCAGAAAGCAAGCTTCTAATTTCATACGTGATGCTTCACCTCGAGAAGTACTTACTGGATTGCCCATGAGGAACTTGTGCTTTAGCCCTTAAAATAACAGGCCTTCTTATTTACTATTTAACGGCTAATACATTGTATTATAATAGAAACTTATATTCGAAAATTGATACCGAATTCCTTAATTAGAAAATGATTTGTATTTTAGATAAATGTCTAACTAGTTCTTGAAGTCGCTGTTTCTTAATAATCCCTGTATATACATGAGATGCTTTTGAAACAAGTCAAAGTCCAACGTTAGCGTAATCATTGACCAACAATAAAATACGATATTCCTATTTATGTTCTGCTGATGCAGTGGAGTGTCCTGTTGGAACGTTTCATAACTTCCTCGAACGAACGTGCAGTCCATGTCCATTTGGAACTTATCAGTTCAAAGGTGGCCAGCTGAGCTGTGTCGTGTGTCCAGATCATACCTCCACTGCAGGCGAGAGCTCTAAGAGCGCGGACGATTGCAAACCCCAGTGTGTACCCGGGATGTTCTCGAAAAACAATGGCGTTATACCCTGTGAAACCTGTCTTCTTGTAAGTTCAGAGCACGAGAATCTTTACCCATATGTCCACAAAAATTTGCCCAGCGTTTAGCGGCCAATATATAATAGCATTATTTCCATTTATCAGACCAAATGACGTAAAAAGGGGTCTCATAGTTGGAGCTTTATTTCACGTAAAACGCCCTACACTATTATAGCTTTTTTCCAGGGTGAGTATCAGCCACAGTATGGGTCCAAATCTTGTCGACGGTGTCCAATCGGAATGACAACCATGAAACGCCGTTCGTTTCAATTGCGCGATTGTAGAGAACGTTGTCCTTCACACAGTGTTTCCCGATTTGGTGTTGCGCCATGCTATCCTTGTCCCACAGGATACCACCAGCCTTTGAAAGGACAAAAGGGCTGCATTCCTGCTACCGGTATGGATGACTCTTGCATTCATGCTCACTTCCATTAATCTTCGTAACAGATTTAACAGCTTAATTTTGTCTAGGGTTTCATTTTCGCTGCTCAAAACAGAGAAACCGCAGCTGTGTATAAAATGGTAGCAGCGGCCACTAAGATTGCCATTCTATTGTGGGAAACTGTTCTCCTATGCATTACAGTGGAAACGTCGCATAATCACAGCGAGTACCTTCCCTTTAACGCGTGCTTCTTATCACCATGCCAGAACGATGCGACGTGCATTCCGATGGACAAACATTTTGCTTGTACCTGCCTTCCTGGTTATACGGGAAGCTACTGCGAGAAACGAATCGATGAATGTGCGTTACTTCCCTGCGGTTTAAATGCTACCTGCGTCTTGCACGAAACATCTGGCTACACATGTTTATGTCCACCCGGATTACGAGGACAAAATTGTGACGAGGACGTTAATGAATGTGCCCTTTCCAGTTGCCTCAACGGGGCTACTTGCGTGAACATTTTTGGATCATTTCAGTGTATTTGCCCTGATGGATATACAGGTAAATATGCGTTTGTTGTCAGTTTTAGAGGTTGCTTACATGCTTTACTTAAAATACCACATCCCTTTGTTGCATTCTTGATAGCATAATTGTATACTACAGTTTAATATTAACACAACATAGCCGTCTCACAGGCTTAACGTGTTCGGAAGATATTGATGAGTGCAGTCAACAACGGTACGGCCAATTCACTCCAAATCTGCATACGCCACCATTGTGTCACAATGGGGGACAGTGCGTGAATATTCCCGGCTCGTTTCGCTGCGAATGTCTAGACGAGTTCACGGGCCAGTACTGCGAGCATCTTTCGTGTGACTGCCAAAATGGTGGAAGCTGCTCTCTGGGCAAGTGTTTCTGTCGGCCAGGATTCTGGGGTAACAAGTGCCAACATCTATCGTCTAAAAGTTACTGCGAAGCAGTCAAGCCATGTTTTAATGGAGGGACGTGCAAGGATGTTGAGCCTGACAGCTTTTCGTAAGCGCTTTTCAAAATCTTACTCTTCTTGATGCCGATTATTTACGCAATATGTATCTGCAGGACAAATGCTATTCATCGCATTGTATAATGTCCCATCCAAACTAGAGAACTGTATGTTGCTTTGACTCAATGGTAATAGCAATGGATTTGTCCATAGGTCATTTATATTATCATAGGGTTGAATTTTTGCAGGTGTCAATGCCAACCAGGCACAACTGGTCTGCTGTGCGAGGAAGAGGTGGCGGAAAATTTTCTGCTCCAATTTCTGGGTAATACCACCTCGGACTCTGCCCGGTTGAGTAACCATCTCGGCACCGAACCTCTCGAGGAGTTTACTGTGTGCCTCTGGTTGAAGTCCAACGACACGCAGAACTATGGCACTCCATTTTCGTACGCATCTGATGACAAGGATAACTTGATTACCATTACGGATTATAGCGGGTACGGCACGAACGAAATGCTATAATTCATTTATTATTTATAACTTATTATACATTCGCAAAAAATGTCTAATCCCATTTAGTAACCAAGACGTATTGCTGTCTAAGGCTCGCCGCAATGGCGCGTAGTTAGGCTTCATTTAAATACATTTGCTTTTCTAAGATTTAGCTAAGGGTGAGCGTACAAGGTTATTGCTTGAACTATACTTATATAACTGGTCTCGTCAGTCGTATCGAAATATTTAGATTTTTGTGTAAGCATCTAGGGGATAATGATTGTTCAGATTCTAATAGCTATTTGTAAATTAAGAGCTCACGTCGAGCTACGCCTGTAGAGCTGGGACGCGTTACAGGGCATACGATAAAGTACATCCGGATGCCATTTTTTTTTATCAGTTCGCATACGCCTAATCTTGCGATCGACAGTGTCGCCTCCTTCTATAACTATATATTGAGTTCTGCATATTTGAATTTCATCAACAGACTGGTCTTCTATGTGAACAACGAGCACGTTATCAGCGATATCACTGTCATTGATGATCGTTGGCATCATCTCTGCTTTTTGTGGAGTCTCCAGGGAGGGCATTATGCGATCTACGTAAACAGCAAACTAACTCTAGAAGGAGGCAATCTGTCTGCTTCAACGCTCGTTTCCCCGAACGGCACTTTGATCCTCGGTCAAGAGCAAGATCAACAAGGCTCCGGTTTCGCTCGAATGGAATCTTATGCCGGTCTGATCGCACACGCGTACTTCTGGAAGAAGCGATTACGTACAGCCGAAATAAAAGCTCTGTTCACTGACTGTTCAGCTCCAGTTCGAGTGACTATCCGCCCCGATCAGCTACTTGTAGCGTGGGGAGACTTCCGGGCTGGCGTGCGCGGGAACGTGAAGGTTTTGCAGAGCAATTTTTGCAAGCCATGCGGCCTGCCGGAAACAACCGGAAACGGCTACACAACAAGCAACGGACAAATTAGCGGCGCTCGAGTTCAGTGGCACTGTGATCCTCATTTTGAGCTTATCGGCAGCCATGAAGCTGTCTGTCTAAAAGTTGGCGAGTGGTCCGCGCCAAAACCAGCCTGCGTAGGTAAATTGTAACCCGATTTTATTAAAATAATATAGTACGCAAGTTAAGCAAGGTCATCATGTGAGCCAAAGTTGGACGTTTTTTTCTTTATGAATTTTTTTTAGACTCTTGGCTTTTCTATATTGTTTCCAAACAAACTATTACGTCACTATCCGGATGTGTATTTACGAAGCAAAGAGCAATGACGGCAGGTACCCTTAAGACCGTTAAATTCATGCTTAGAACTTCGTTATGAATTCTAAACTCTAGTTATAGTATATATAGCGGCAAAATTGCAAAGTTACGCTAATACTCTTGAATTTCATAAACAGAAATTATATGGATAAGGAATAAGCTATTTTTGTGATTTGATATTAATTACCGTTGTGGATCGATTAATCAAGATCTAATCTTTTCTTCGTACGGCACATGTAGGCAAGTATTGCCCTGTGGGCCAGCTTGACAACGGGCGCACTATCCCTCCTAAAAACCTAGTCGAGGTCGCTGAGGTTGTTCGCTTCGAATGCAATGAGGGATTGCATTTACGAGGATCTTCTATTGCTGTATGTGAATCCACAGCTAGGTTAAACATCACTGATTACCCATCATGTAGTACTAGCCGATCAAAGCTCTCGCTCACTCCTCGAAGGTGCCCAGCAGATCATATGGAGATCCTCAAACGAAATCTTGGCGTAGCAAGAACGTCGAATGATAGCACTACAGAGGAGAGCTTCCGCTGTCCAGCCGGATTCCGGTTAGAGGTTTGTTTCTTTCGGGTTTTTTTTCACGCGCTCGCTTCATGTACAAACGTCTGCTGTTTCATTTTATGTCATTAAAACATGCCCATTTAAGCTCGTCTTCTATTCTAGGGTATTGCAACGCGATTTTGCCGTTCTGGAGAATGGAGCGCATCGCTGCCTTCTTGTTACCCGATCGTCTGTCCTCCGCTGCAACCCATTACGCCTACGTCTGTTACCTACTCGGACGGCACATTAGTCGGCTCTACCGCCACGCTTCGTTGTGCATTTGGCTTTAAACTTCGCTGGAAAACACCTAACGTTCTACTGTGTAATCTTCGAGGAGACTGGCAGCCGACATTTAAATTAGAAGAAGCGTGCGAGCCGATAGAGTGCGGCCCCCTGCCACAAATACAGAATGCCGTTGTCAGTCCTAGCCGTAACCTAGTCTATAATATTTCTGTGCATTACGAAATGTTTGTTTTATATTTTAAACAGAAACTGAAGAAAACGATGGATCCAAATTTTATCACTGCATTCTCATAACTTGCACATAATGCCAGCCCTACTGTAGTTTCCTTGGGAAGTAAGGCCATGGATCCTACCGCAGTATTACCGATACAATAGGAAGGCTAAAGAGTACTTAAAAAAGAGTTTATTCTTTGTATTTAAATATAGCTTCAACGGAACACATCGCATCACGTGGGATCAGTCATACATATAGAGTGTGTACGAGGTTTCTCTGTTGCACCTTCACTGGACGTGCGTTTGATCTGTCTTCAAAGTGGGATATGGTCTCAGCCATCTGGCAATCTCTGTGAACCAAAGCAGTGTAGCTTCCTACAACTGCCTCAGGTTAGAAACTGTTCCATCAGCAACAGAGGGCCTATATTCTACAAGATTTCTACAAGTTTCGAAATAAATAATCGTTTTCTAACTTAGGTTGATGGTAGTTCCGTAATCCTACACAATGGGTCGACGTCGTTTGGTTCCCTAGTGGAAATCTCATGCGAGCGCGGATTTCGCAGCGTAACAAGCATGACGCGAATGCAGTTCGTCTGTAGTGAAGATGGCTGGCAGCGTATGGACGTCGCGGCACATGCACAATCTAGATTAATTCAATGTCGACCGATTCGCTGTCCGCATCCACGGCACCCACCAAACGGACGCGCCTACTTTGTCGATCGCAGTGTAGGGGCAACTATTGAATTTTCTTGCGGGCCAGGCTACACATTTAGTGAGATGGCGCCACAGGTAATTTGCCGACATTTTACTCAGTCTTACTACAGAGAAATTATCACACTGTTTTGTTGTTTGAAAAACCGATACTTCTAATAGTTCATTTGTATCCCTTTTGTTCGCCTGGTAGGTAGACAATGGCCGCGTGTCCATGCTTCTAGTTGCTTGGTCATAGCTTCTGGTTGCGCATTAGCCCCCCTATACCACACCGCGCCCTCACTTTTTATCTGTCCAAAATAAACTATTGTAAAATTGATTCTTGCTTTTGGTTTGTTAGACCGTTACTGAGGGCCTGTTTTATTTTGATATAGGAAAGCGTCTGTCAAGAAGACAGCACGTGGTCGGTTGGAGTAGGTCAACTTGAGAACGTATGCGTTCGTCGTCGAGCGTGCTCACATCTTGTTGCACCTCTTAATGGCTATATGAATATAACAGTAAATCAAGCGAATTTTTCATGCGGTCGGGGCTTCCAGCTGGTTGGCTCACATATGCTGCGCTGTATCAACGGTCAATGGTAAAAACGATGGGAAACGCGATTCAGCTCTACGACCTTAGCAAGGATCCATGTAAAATGTCTTGCAAGTTATGAAAAAGTGAAAACATGGTAGCTAGTACACCTTTTCTACTTTTTCTCCTTTTCTCCTTTGTATAAACACCTACGATATATTGCTTTTGTTTTTCAGGACGGACGTGGCCCCCGAATGTCAACCAGAACGCTGCCCGGTTGAATCGGAAGGAGGTCTAGTTCTAGAAAACGGAATTTTCTCTCCAACCAGAGGCGCAGTCGGTGATCGGGTTTCGGTGTCATGCAAGGTGGGTTACAAACTGCGAGGCGACGTTGAATGGCATTGTCTAGAGAACGCGACATGGTCCGGTTCGACTAGCTGTGTACCTGTTACGTGCGCACCCCCAGAAGACAGCTTTGTAACGCCATTTTATAAAGATTATCGGTGAGTCACATACATTATAGTACATTATAAATAGGTAAGCTTCGAATCATTTTTGTAGACTTACAAGTAACGGCGAAAAATCTCTGTTTAGTCGAGCAAACTGTTGTCTAGCAGTTACAGCAACTTTCAAATAAGCTTTCATCACCTAAACCGCTTGATTCCAATTCATATCTATGAGCTAGAATCCACGATAATTAGCATTATCTATTTATTATTATAGCATTATCCAACATATCCATTATAAATTACACAGCGAAAATTTGTAATTTTTGAAGTTCCTTTTGAGCAGTAAAGTTTCTTGGGCTTTACATGCTTTGTTTTTTCAACTGAAGAAAAAGAGTAATTTGATACGAAATATTTTAATTCAAATTAGAGATTCTTTCAGGCCATCATAACAAAGTACGTTCTATGAATTTTCTACGAATTATACGGTTTCGGAAACCAAATACTAATCATAGAACTCTAATATTATTAAACGTTTCAGTTACTATAGGTCTAATGTACAATCTCGGTTATTTAATAATTGTTTATTTATCTAAGCATGTTTATTAATTTGACCAAAAACGCGATCCCTAACAATGTAACGAATTGTCTACCTGTCCGCTTACATTCATATAAATGTATGTAAACTTTTATTCAAAACAGTAAAAACTTGAAATTCCCAATTTTCCCAGTATCTGCAAGTCAAGTTCACTATAAAATAGGGACCTGCACTTTAACTCATGTCTTGTAACGTTCAATCTAACACGCATTCACCGCGAGTTACCACGCGTAGAATTACACCAGCCAATGTTTCGTCTGATCTTATACAATTTTCGGGTATCGCCTCCTCTTTCTTGTTTAGCTATGGCAGTTCGATTGATTATTCGTGTAACCAAGGGCACGTACTGGTGGGTAGTCGAATTCGCGTGTGCCTTGCCACTGGACAGTGGTCAGCGCCTGTACCCAATTGCCGCCTTGTTACCTGTCCGCCACCCGTCGACAATCGTTCACTGAATATCACATACGACCCGTATAATTCGACGCTGTTTGGTAAGTTGACACAGCGCGAACGGCTTACAATTAAGTAAAAACACATTGTTAGATGAACAACTCAACATTAGAAGTACGAATTGTAATCTAACGATATGATCCGGAATTAGGACACGGCTAATTTTTTTTCAGGGACGCGGGTGCGGGTGTCTTGTGCATCTCCAGAAGGCCATTTAATTGGAGCCTCGCAGTCTTTATGTGGGGATCAAGGGGTGTGGGATCCACCATTGCCTGTGTGTCTTCGCACCACAAGAAACTACTGTCTTACTTCAGGACCCCCCACCAACGGCCGTGTGGAAGTTATAGGCGATATCTATAGGCATGTCTGTTCTGTATAATCTATACCGACACACATTTGTTAGAGTTCGCGTTTCTTGACATTAGTCGCTCCACATAAAATGAAACAACTAGTTTAGGTTATATACTGCTACAAAGCTGTGTCTTTCCTCCCGACAGTTTAAGATAAATATTGTACTGTTACCAATACACTATGACTATAAAGAGATCCGATCCAACTTTGATCAGAAAATAAAGAAAAACTAAACCCCCAGAAATAATATTAAACAATTCTCATTTCAACCAAATGAAATTATGCTGATCAAATAATCTAGTGTTGATAAACAAAAACATACGAGGCTCGGCAGAATTTTCGCAACAGAAAAGCTATTAAACCACCTGCGGCCAATAGTGCGCACAGAAAAATTTAATTACTCTGTCTCTTGAGTACACACAATTGGGCGGCTAAGCCTCTGGCTGAATAAGCGAGGGGTCGTTGCTTGAAGCTACGTCAGTGACTTCAAGACAGGTATGATTAAAAAAAGGAATTTTATATTAAAAGAATCTAAATACGAAGTCTACGTAACACAATGAAAATCTACTCCATATCGAATATACGTTCGTAACTGATCCAACCGCTTTTTCACAATGTGTATTCACGATGAACTTGTACCGTGAATTTAAATTCTCAAGACATTTAATCAAGACATAAAAGATGAGAGAAATGCAGGTTTCATCGAAAAATCCTTTTCATTTGATTTTCTCATTTACTGTTCACTTGAAGGAGACCATCCTAAAGCCACCCTAACCAAATTGACAATTTGGACAAATTGACCAGCTTATGGTCAATATTTAGTGTTTCCAATAACATTTTGACTTTGTACTCTTACAGGTTTAGTTGTGACAGCGGCTATCGGCTAATAGGCAATCCGGAAATAAATTGCAAGCAGGAAACGATGTCCGTTAAAATTCGTCCTCCGAAGTGCGTAAAGCTTGTTACATGCCCTAAGGTATGAAGGCGCTATGCTTAAACTAATTTCTATCTAAGAACACACGCATTGTTTTGAGTTGCAATGAAAACGCAGCGAGTAATATATTTTGGCAATATTTATTTAAAACTGGTATATTCGAGTAAAACTGAGAAGTGATGTCTGAACGCGATATGCCGCCCAAGCAATATAAATCAGGGCGTCCCTATATTATTTTTCTTTTTTTTTTTTTTATATTCGTATGCATCCAGTCATGTACACATGACGGTTAGTGTATCTGTGTCCTACTTTGACCTTGCTCGCAGCTCTGGGCATAAGTAGTTTACTTTTAATTAATATTTAAGTAGATTGAAATTTCATCCGATAAGTTTTGACGACTGTAACACACCTTCATGTTACATAATTTGACTGAGCTAACGATTCTTGGCGAAGGTAGTTTGATATTCACATAAAATCTCATTGAAAAATAGTGTATTCATCGGTTTTTTTGTCAATTTGATTTCCATATGCATTTCGTAACATACTTCTCAGTTTCCGTTTGTGCATCATACACTAACTCCGTACGAAGAATGTTCACACAGATTCGTTTTTGTCGCTTTCATTCATAACCTTATACGTCGGGGCTCTCTGTTCATCCGCCCGTCAGTTTACAAGATCTCTGTCAGTCGCTGACATCATCGTTTTGCCTTCGTCACTTTCCCTCTCTGTGCTTTTTTCTTCTCGATTTTCTCATCAATACAACACCAACTGTGTACGGTGTTGATACGATTCTGGTACTTTGAGGTTCGTTCACTAGGGCAAATTAAAGAATGGCTTGCCATTATCCATTCAATCATTCGTTCGTTTATTAGCAAGGTTGAAAGAGACGTTCCCCATACTCACGTCCCATCCTTTAGACTTTCACACCCCCTTCCCACACTGATAAGAGTCTGTGTTCTTGTACATGCGCGTAATAATGAATGCCGTCATATTTACTATCATTCATTCACATCAGCACAAGATGTAAGGCGTCTGTTCCAGCGTGTTTTTAGCGTATTTTCGCACATCGCTCACACCGGCCTAAATAAAACTGAGGGCCGAACCTTTTTTCTTTTTTTTACAAAGTTATGCGCACACATTCACACACAATGCCCACGACATGCAATTTATGATTGTGACACGAACCGCATGAACGGGAGAATCTACTTTACTTCCCACTTTAGACTCGCGTATCCAACGTTTGCTTGTTGTTTCCGTCTGTTGCCTTTTTTGTTGCCTATACATCACTCCCTAGGTTTTACAAACCATTTGTTTAAACGTATCAATTGCCGTTCAATTACAGTCAGATTGCCCGCACCATTTACTTTAGCCAAATTTTGTTCCATCAGCCCAAGCCTCCTTTGTTTCTTAGAAGGGTTTAGTCTTCTGTTTATTTCAGTTTTGGGAAATATACATCTTTTGAGAATTATACATTCTTCGAGTAATACAGAAGTGTTTGTATTTACAGTTTTTTGTGTGCCGCATAAACATTATTGTTATTAACGTAATTATGATCATTCTTATTATGGGTACAAGACCTCAATTGAATTTCGTGCGCTTCGCTCATGACTCTTGTTTTTTTTTGCTGATGAATCCCCGCCCTTGCATATACACTCATTTCGTGCAATAGCGCACACCACCCCGTAATCAAGGAAGTGCCATATCAAGCCATTTTGTATCTTACCATATGCATCTTATCAGACAGCAGTGGAATTGCGTCCTATCTCCTACATCGATACTCAACAGCTCTGAAACAGTTACATCATTCCTGTTATTTGTTGTTTGATTGCTATCGCCCAATCGATCTATTCGATTTTTTGGATCAACTATTCTATTTCATAATTAACTGGCAGTAGCTGATGAGTGTATACATCGGGATATGATGAGACCGACTAATGAACGACATTCTCACACGGTAGGAGTGAACGACCCGATTGCCGAGCACAACGTTATCCCGTTGACGATATTGATAGTCCGACAAATTTAATACATTATGGATGATATATACTGTAAACACAGGGTCGCGTCTGGTAATAACTGCCTACTATCCTGACCAGTCGCTGTATAATTAAAATATAGGATAGTTCAGTAAACAAGTATACCACTGGGTGTAAAACAGTTTCTTGTAAAGTTAAAAAAATTCTGCGCCAATCAGACTCAGATCAAGCTTTCCCTATCCTGAACTCGTGCTGCCCTCCTGTCTTTCTAATTTACTTCACTGTAGCTATGCTCAATAGGATTTCGTTGCCCCGTTCATCATCACAGTTCGCCCCCTTTAATGTACAATCCTCGTAAATATATATTGACGTCGTTTTGTAGCATTATGAAGTAACTGATGGTGGATTCATAATCGATGAGAACAATAAAAAATTATTTCGGGTAGGGGGTGTGAGGTGACCTCTTTCATGTCCCATTTTTCAGCATCCGAGAACATGATGGCCACCCATGATGGTATTATAGACAATACGGTACGGTTGAGTATACATTTGATTGTTGTTGGTTGGATATGTATTGATTATATGCAGTGTGTCAGCAAATAAAAAAATGCTATTAATATTTAATTATTATCATAGTATTGTCGGTCAACTTAATAGTATCAGCTCATCTTACAGCTCTCATCGTACACTTCGTAATTCGCTCGCTGGTATAATATTATGGTAGTCGTAAATCATTATACATACACATCTATCAATATCCGGATTGTACTCTCATAGTACGTAATCTGCTGTATGCGTGTCCGCTCGCTGCTGCACTATCATACCTAATTAGAGCAATAATAGTAATACTAGAACTAAAATAGTAGTAACTAATCTTACTGGTCAGGTGGATATAGGTGGGGCTTGGCAACCGAAGTCGCGACTAAAGTCAGACGTATTTATATCCGTCTGATTTTGTTGGCAGTCCAAAGCGAGAGACTGGCATGGAGAGGTTGACTGCACATATTTTTTTTCAATATATACCCTTTTTTTTTGTGTTTACACAAGAAATTGTCAAACATCTGTGCCCCCGTTTTGACGGCTCATGTCGATGTTAGTACAAGGATAGATACAATGGTGTCGTGGTTATAAATTGTTTTCTATAGGCCACTGCGTGTAGTAGTTCTTGCTTGAGAGTTTATACATTGTTTGGCATTTGTTGTCTGCTGTTTTCCCTTGCTGAACTTTCCTTTACATTGTTGTAGATTATATTGTAACAACAGTAATAATCGATAAGGCATTAAAACATCATGTGGCATTTGTAAGGGTGGCTCATCGAAAACAATACCCAGCGTTTCTAAACAGCATCCCCTTTTCGCAATCGCCGCCTCAATCATCTTCGTGATTATTGTGCCGCCTTTTTGAGATCGACCTTGTGTGTACTACACGCTATCGAAATAAGAATGGTTTGAAATGTAACAAAATATTTGCCAGTTTCTTGACCATCCTCTTGTAAATATCTTTCTCATTTGCTTATTTTTTTTGCATGTGTGTGTCACCTCTCCGCCACGCCTCGCCCGGCAGAGCACGAATTCTTATACATACTTTATATATAAGTATAGACAGTGTATTTATATAGTTATATTTTATCAACGCTGTTCCATAATACACAGTTTGAGAACTTTGTTGTACAGAATACAGAATTATAACAATCGTCGCTCAGGTGGTATTTCTGCCTCATATATACGCGAAATATATATCTATAAAATCATATA